AAAAAAGAAAAATCCATATCCGTTCTTGTTTTCCATAGGAAGGACATCTAAAGGGTACTTTTAAAAAATGTATTCTCTAAAAGGGCAATAAGAAGGTACTTTTTGGATGTTGTATATCTTAAAAAAGTAAAATAATATCCGAAGGGAGCTTTTTGATGTTTCTTTTCTGTTATAACAGCACCTAGAGGGCACTTTTTCAAGTATCATTTAAAGGAAGGGCATCCAGCGGGAACTTTTTGACATTTTATCACATCATATTTCGTCAGCAAATTACAGTAATTTGCTGTCTTAGCAATCGTGTTGGTTTTCTGTATGACCCCTTTAAAATTGGTTTCTGGATCGGTCATGAAAATCCTCCATCAGTTTGCTGTAGAGCTTATCTTCCCTCCTTCTGATTAATGACTCCTTAAGTGAGTCTTTTACCCGCTGCCTGACTGATTCAGATCTAAGCGGATGTATAATCGTAGAAGATTAAATAAAACAGATGAATTACAGTTATTGTTGGAGTACTGAGGAAACATTTTAATGAATCTCTTTTGTTAACTAGTTAGAGATTAAACATTTTCCGCCTGCTTCTCGGAAGATATTCCCCTCGCTTCAGTCCAGCAGAAAAACTATAGCATGAGTCATGATTGAAATGGTCAGGCCGGAATAATGATTACAGAATATCAGGTTTAATTTTCATTATAAAGCTTAACGAGTTTCTGACACGCACCAGTTGTAAATACCTGGCTGATGACGTGAAACTGCAGCAGCTTGTTACTTTGAGGCACCTCTCTGACGTCCGGAAAAGAGAACATAGTTCAGATAAAGATGACGATCAGCCACTTATGACTGTAACCTTGGATCTCTGAGTGCAGACGGTATCTCTCCACCTTGTCACATACTCCATATGAATGAGGACTGACCTGCACAGGGCGGTTATTTCCTTGAGACAAACCTCCTCATGGCCCATGCGTGGGTTACTGTGCATGAACTCATCGGTCAGCATTGATTGTAGCGGGTCTGTAAGTGACCTTGACGTAGAAGGATAATCTCTTCACTGAGAGAACCAAGGTTACAACCACTGCATCTTCTTGACTATCCAAGACTAGAAGCTCTACGTTAGATACACATGAAAATGGACGGAGTCTTCTGTCTATACTCTGCATTCACTTTGTTCCATAGACTGTACAGTATATCCTCTGCAAGCTTGTTGACCAAGTTTTAATTCTTGGTCTTGTTAAAAATTGTTCCTATGTAAAGCTGAGTGGAGTCAAAGCTGCTGTGAGGAACTTGGAGTCTGTGCGAGTGTAACCAATGGTGTCTGCACCAACGGTAACTGGTTGTGTCTAACTCTCCATGGTGTGTTTGTTTGAAGGAAAGACTCAACCCGAATTTCCACTGCATCCGGAACGGCTACGAAAGGGCTGTATTCACTGATCATAGCCAATCGTAACCATTTAAGTTAATTGAAATTGGTAACAAAAGGGAAAAGAATTGGCGCAAGAGGGCAGCTGATGGAGGGCAGTGATACACCACAATATGTCCGTATTTTATATACACATTTTAACTGTAAAATTGACCCTGTTACATGAGGACAAAGCCGCCCTCAGTGGACATGGCTGTACATGATTTGGCCTGTTGTCTTTGAACAATCGAACATTTCACGCACTGTGGACCATTGTTTTATTGTCCTATTGTTCTTTTTCTGGAGCTTATGGGGTTAATTTTACAAAAGTGGAAAAACAAGAAGAGGGGGGCTTGAGGACGGCGGGGGAGTCAGGTATATTGGCAACAAACGGAATCAGATTATTCCGGCTGTAAATCATGCATAGACAGGCTCTCGTGATGCAATGCTCGGTTTAGTGTGTGCTACTGTAATTGCTCCATTTTTCATTCTGTTATTGGAAACGTGACGTTACCTTTACATTGACTCACACTACAGCTGCCGATGATTTATATCACCCAGCATAGTGGACATCTGCTGACCTTAAATGATCAAATGAAAGCACTTTATTTCCTAATCAAAGCCCTGACTCTGAACATATCCTGGTCAAGACTCTGAAAACTCTGGCTTTAGGCCTAATCATCTTGCAGGATGTCTCTGTTCAGGACTAGTTTACTTCCTCACCGGGCCAGACCATCATGGTAATTTAAGACGAGCACCTCACCTGCTCCATAGCGGGTGATGTTCAGGATAAGAGACACCAGCTTGTAGAAAACTACACCCACTGACCTGTCAACAGCTTGATTTTGAGCCAATGTGTTTGCTTTTCTATTCAATGTTTAACATTGATAACATGGATACACTGTTTGAGCCGAGCGTCATCACAGCAACTCGCAAATCCTAAAGGTTCCTCTGGATCGCTGCTGCAGACTGTTTGCTGTTGTGGACCTTTCTGCTGTCCAGCTGCTTCAACAACAGGCAACAGTCTCTCTTCTGTCCATCTCTCTGTTTCTTAATCTCCCTTTCTCCCCTCTCTTAACCCAGCTCAGTCTCAGCAGATGACTGTCTAACATCAGTCTGGTTCTGCACGAGGTTTCTGCCTGTAAAAGAAGTTCTTCCTCTCCACTGTAACCTGATAAATACTGTGAAGTATTTTACTTGTGGTTGAAGATGGGATGGGAGTGGGTCTGATCTTCTTTACATGGGGTCTTTGTAAATACAATCTGGTCTAGACCAGCTTTTCTTTGTTGAACATCTTGAGATAACACTCGCTGTGAATTGGCATTATAAAAAAATAAAGATCAATTGGTTGCTTGACCAGCAAAGGAGCTGCAGAATTATCCCCATCACTTTCAAGACCATTTCCCTGTGTCAGCAGTCCATGTTCATGTGTGTCAAGCAATACTGGAACCACTCGTGAAAAACCCACCTATTTCCATGAAGCAATCAATTCTGGACTGTGGCAAGCAGTGTGGGATCATATCTGTTCAGCTTGTTTCATAGACCAGGTCCCAGATGATGTTTAATAGATCAGTTTGTTGGACAGGTCCGTTTGTGAGATGAGAGTTTTGAGTTAATCACTGTTTAACAGTAGAGTGAGTGGACTGTGATTCAGAGCTGAAAACAAAGAAACATCATTCAAATCAAATGTCAGAATCATGAATCAGCCTTTTGATTTTGCATGAGGACTTGGAGGAGTTTGGTACAATCTGGGAAAACAACACCTATGATATCATGGTGATGTTATCAGGGTTATGTGTGGGGAGGAAAAGGAAAAGAGCCTGACTGATGAACTGATAATATACCCGCAAAAACGTAGGAGCTGCCCTGAATGTAAATGGCTAAGAAACTGAAACTTTCGAAAAAATTGTGATGAACTGAAGAAACAAGTCATTTTTCTGAGTGTAAAACTATCAAATCGAAGTTTGAACGGCTTGTGTTTTGTTTGTTCCCCTTTTTTCATTTTTAATAATAATATAGTGGTGTTCAGTATTTGGTTTGTATGGTGGCCGAGAACTGCCACTGCCAATTTTATTTATAGTACCATGTAACTCTTGTTTCAGAGAATTAACTCTTTGAAACCACCTGCACTGGTGTGCTTGGCTGTAGAACCATTAATTTATACTGTACCAAGCCTGCACAAACATCTATAAAACTGGAAATAAAATGAATGGGATCATCAAAGAGGACAATGATGTCATTTTCACATTTTATTAAACAACCCCCCACCCCACCCCCATACACACACACACACACACATTGTACTTTTTCTTGTCTGTGTCCGTGTTTTTCTTATTTACTCCTGCAAACTCGAACATAGCCTTCAGATAAGGCCATAGGTTTTCTTCAGGTTCCTCTGCCTCATTCAACTCTGGCTCATCATGTTCAGACTCTGGACTGAGGATTTATCGTAGCGTTCTTCTCCTGCCGCCGCCATTGCCACCACGGTCTTGTTTTGAGCTGGTAAACAAGAGAGCATGCATTTCCGCTTTTACGTACATCCCAGTGGAGAACGTATACTGTGATAGGTTTCCTTCTTTGACGAACACTGCATGTGGCCAACTTCATTTTAGGAAAAGAAAAAAAAGCGAACCTAAAAGTAAGGAGTACTCATGAGCCTTCTCAGAAATGTACTCAAGTAAAAGTAAAAATCTTTACTTTGGAAATGTATTTGAGTAAGAGTAATAAGTATCAAAGAATTCTAGTATTTGAGTAAATTTACTCTGTTACTGTCCACCACTGGTTTACGACGCAAAAAAAGTGGCAATGCAAAAAAAAGCCACAATGGAAGTGAGCTGCCGGGGACCAATAATGATGCTCCAGGGTTTTACATTCTAGCCACAGAAGACAACGGCAAGAAGACAAACAAAGAAGTAAGTGGAAAGTTATTGTTTAATTTCATTTCGTGTGCTTTTCAATGTGTTATTTGGTTAGGCTATGTAGCGCCTGAGTCGATATGAAGTTGAACTAACACAACTTCATATAGACTCAGCCTAACCAAATAACACATTGAAAAGGTTACGAAGCAAAATTAAACAATAACCTTTCCACTTACTTCTTTGCTCGTCTTCTTGCCATTGTCTTCTGTGTCTAGATCGTTAAATGCCTGTGCATCATCATTATTGGTCCCTGGCAGCTCACTTCCATTGTGGCTTTTTTCTTTGCATCCTTTTATTTTCACAGTAAGTATTTTTTTATCAACGCCACTTTTTCTTGCGTCGTTGTGGCACCATGTTTTTTTTTTTTTTTTTTTTTGGTTATTGCAGCGAGCTCCGGTTTCTTTTCTTTTTTTTCACATCAGTAACTCCTGTTGTGACTTCTTTTTTTTTGCATCCTTTCTTTTTTTGCAGCAGTGGTGGTTCTCGGCCACCTTAGGTTGGAAAGTGCCAGGCACTCACACTCAGTTCCAAAATATGTCACATTTGAGTCTTTGGTTACGATTTCTAACAAACCAGAGCTCTCCTCCTTTCAATGACAGCACTGTGTGTGTGTGTGTGTGTGTGTGTGTGTGTGTGTGTGTGTGTGTAGGGGATGGGTGGGGGTATAAGGGGGTGTATCAGGTGGGTGTGCTGAGTTTGGGGGGAGTGCAGCCTACAAATTGAGCTCGTGAGCTCCGTGAGCAGCAGATGTGAGAGGCGCTCTGCACGCGCAGGTCGCGCCTCCTTGATTAGCCGTGGACACATTACCGGACGGGACTAACGGGATTATGAGGATTTGAGGAGAGGACTCCGGTGTCACACGAGGAGTGGGATTAACGTCCAGCGTCTTCAGTCTTCTGCGTGCCGTGATGGGGATAGACCGGCGGCGGAGAGCGTCGCTGGCTCTCACCTTGAACTTCCTCGCGCTCTTTCTGGCCGTGTCGGCTCTCACCACCAGCTACTGGTGCGAGGGCACGCGGAAGGTGGTGAAGCCACTGTGCACCGGGCCGGTCACCGCCAAGCAGTCCTTCTGCATCCGGTTCAACAGCTCCAACATTAACGACACGCGGCTCGTGCAGTACATCTGGGAGACCGGAGAGGACAAGTATGTGCTGAGGAAGTTCCACACCGGGATCTGGTTCTCCTGCGAGCAGAACATCAACATGTCCGGTAAGTTCAAGACGGAGACACCGGGGACCGGTGCGCAGAGAGGCGCTCGGGCTGAGCGCGCGGGGAGGTGCGTCACGGAGAGGCGCGTCGATCCAGTAACCCAAAAAAGAAAGAATGTGTCCATGTGAAGGAATGTGATCCTGATTAAACACGGACTGAAAGCCTGTGTAACTTTTAGAAACAAATAACCAGAAGATCAGACACAAACAATCTTCTGGTCCTTAATAACCTGTTCATCAAAACAGGAATGAGAAATCACAGGTGTTACGCGCTCTTTTGAAGGATTTTCCAAGTACCTCTGGATGAGGATCTGATGCCAATAATGATGATAGGAAACATTTAAAATCAAGAAATCTGCATAGTTAAATGTGCAAATAAGATAATGAGCCAAAAGAAAAAAAGACTCTCATACAACAAACAAGTTTTATTTTAACCCTGAGAAACAGAAACCTGATTTATTATGAAATAATAAATGAAAATAAGTCAAAGAAAAACACATTTCGGGCTTTATTTATTTATTTTTATTGCTTCAAAGTTAATTCAAAGAAAGGGTATAAAAAGTGTGCTCCCCTGCTTAAACATGAAGTGCTTTGTGTGTGATCTGTTATGGACTCGGTTCCAGATGAAGCTGCTGAGTGCTGTGACACCCCAGATGTGCAGAGGTGGAAAGAGGACTTAATTATTCTGAGTACAGGGACTCTGATTACATTTTTACAGAAGCAGAAGCAAAACTACCATCCTGTGAATCTACTTTAGGTCTTTATTTAAATTGTACAAATCGTACATAAAGTCCTGAGTGCGTGTTTGTAATCCAGAGCAGTGAGGGGTGAAGGGTGTAAGATTTGCCCCCTTAATAATCTCCTTGTTATGATAAAACCTAAAGCATTAATGAATGAGGTGTCTATGACTCTGCACTTATCCGGGGTGAAGTTATCGGTAGTTTTGCATGAGGGCTTGTGTGATCAAACAACAAAAATAAGACCTGAATCGATTGTAATGAAGAAGCTAGATTTGAAACATTATGTCATATTTAAAGCTGCTGTCAGGAACTTTCAGTTTGTTCTGATTTCCCCTCAGGGATTAGGTGCGTGCCAAGTTGGTATTCTCTGACCAAAATTCTCATCCTCCTTTCTATTCACAGTTAAATGTGTCGCTCTTTAAGGATGCTTCCTAAGTGTGCCATCAATCATCTGGTCTGACACCGTCCCCCTCAGAGTGGTTTCAGGCATAGAAATCACAATATAGTTCCTGTCAGTGTTGTTGCTGATGAGGTTGTTTGCTTTTGTAGGTCAGTGATAGTCAAAAACTCCTCACAGTGGCTTTAGAGAATATTTTGAAGGAACCAAATGAGAAATTTCTGATTTAAAAGTTTTTGGAATAAGGTTCATATTTGGACCTGTCATGTCACTGTACTTTAAATCAAGCGTAAGGATGTGTTAAGACCAGTAATGAAGGAATATGGTAAAATTAGAGCTTTTTTGTAATTTGGGCATCATACAATCACTTTTTTTCACTTGGTAACTTAGGCATTGTAAAATAAAGTGAAGTGCAATATACTCCACAGAAAAACACTTAAGTTAAAACAAAAGTTCTGATCTTAAAAACTACTTAGAAAAAGTAGTTTTACATGAGTAAAATGGTGTTACTCTCACTGTTGCGACTGTGGACAGTGTCTGTGTCTGTGTCTGTGTCTGTGTTCGGACCATCAGACAAACATTTGTTCTGTCCTGTTGATAAATCTCACAGAATATTTGTCTGCCCACTGACAGAGGCTGGATGTTGGGCTGCAGATTTACACATGTGGTTTTGGAAAGAGGGCAGCTTGTTGCACAAACACAGGATGGAAATCCTTAACAGATTAGTTCAGATGCATCACAGCTTCATCTTTTTTCTCAGAGCATAAAGACAGTCTACCTGTGAGCGCCTCTCAGCCTGTTGCAGCAGTGATTCTCAATGTTTCTGAGTGTAATTGGAATGTCTGCTTTTCTGTCATTTCAGGTGAGAACTGCAGAAGTTTCATCTATGTCGCTCCTGCAAACGAAAGAGGTGAGCATGCATGTTTTAAGACATATAGTTTGATGTCTGTTGTTCATTTGGGCTTCTTTCTGCAGTTAAATAACTGTCTCTTTTGTTTTGCTGCAAAACACGAAAGTGTAAAGTTTCACATCCTGATCTGCGTCCATCTCACTTGCACCATATTACGACCATTTATGCATGTCTAAATTCAACCAGCATGCACAGAACTTTTTCATCCATGCATGGAATTCTGCAGCGTCAAAACTTTTTACATCCTCACACAAAATGCAAGCTTAAAATCACAGGTCTCCTTTAACTGTAGGATTTATAGGTTTGTTATTATTGTTGCAAACCAGGAATATGTCTTAGTGAGCCAAAGTGAACCTTCCCTCAGACCATGCACAGACTATGTGCAAAGTTTACTGTCTGTACACTGCAGAGGTTCATATCACATAAGGCTCAGAGATAATAATACTAACAAAGTGCATAAATAAAACACTAGAGCCTGTTTTAATGAATGTCGCACAAAGTTTCAGGTGTGAAATCCAATAATGTTTCTGATTCCTGCCAGAAAAATCATTCCACCTGATGAGAAAGTTTACCACGTTCCTGACAGGAGTCATAAAAAAGTTCCTCCCTGTAGGAAAAACAAACACTTTCTATTGCCTTAAACCTCTAAAACCATAAATCCTGTTTTCTGCTGTGACTGAAGTGGACATTTTGGTCAGGGTTTTTAGGATCCTTTGTTTTTGTGATGAAATGTTGGCACAGTCCTAAAGAGATCTGAGTGTTGTCAGAACATCTGTTGGCCTCAGAGCTGCATGTTTTCTCTTTTTTATCTTTAAGCCAGCGTTAAACACAAAGCCCAAACATCAGTCTGCTTACCAGTAATAAAAGTCTGATTACAACGTCCCACCGAGGCCTCGGCTCACAGTATCTCTTACTCCAACAGAGAAATAATCCTTTTTCTCCATGTAATGGAATCAAGTCGACAACTTAATACTGGAGCAGTGGTTGTTGTTTGGGTGGATTATCAGAACAGCGACTCTGTGAGGTAACAAGTAAAGTGATGTTAAAACACGTCCCCGCAGTCTCTGCCAGAGTCTGCCCTCCAAGTTTATTGTGAAACACTCAGAGGACACTCAGGGGAACACAAATCTACTAGAAATTTATAACACCAGAGAAATACAACCTCGGTTTTGTGCACAGATCACAACCAAAACATGCTACTTTTATACAGCCGTGTTTCTGGGTCCCGAAGATTCTTCAAACAGTCAACTCGCCTTTTTTTCTTTGATGCTGTTGTTCTGGTTTCTCTGCTCTTATAACCTCTCCAGTGAAGGTGATAAAGTTTAGTTTCTAATTTAAACATCCTTAACCAAATCGTCAAAAAAACATGATTAACTTGGCTCTGTATGGGCAGTCTATATGCAACCACTATACTCAACTGCTGCATCTGCACTAGTCACGATTCTCTGGATGTTTCTGTCACTTTCTTTAATCCAGTCTTTTATTTGAATATGATCTTTCATTCAGATAAGAGTCTCTTCTTTGCTAAACCAAACATACACAGTTTGAAGTCATAGAATCATAACTGTGGGAAAATGTTCAATTATATAAACTTTAAAAAGAGGTTAAATTTCCTGAGAACTTTTTCTTGTAGTTCATCTAAAAGTTGCACGAATTCTCATGAAGGATGGACTGTGTTTTGAGTTTTAATCATTACTTAGTCGTATTTTGCTCTTTGTGTCTTGCACTGTTTTAGTTAAGACTTGAGGTCATTACACACGCAAATATGTGAAAATGCCAAATATTTGGCTTACACCTTTTCCTATACACACCTGGTGTGACGCGAATAAAGTTTGCATATTTGCATAAAAAATGCTGAACAGAGGGGGGAGAGAGAAGAAGGAGAAACAACAGCAACTACATCCTCAAGTGATGATGACCTGGTCATGGTTTCAAGCCTATTAAATAACAAAAAGAAATGGAAGAAACAAAGTGTCTGGGTACATCCAATACTGACCTTGTGACAATCACATCTTAACCTCACAAATGCACCATCCACCAGATGGAGTGACATCATAACTTTGAAGGCTCCTCAAACTTCACTGTGTCATGAAACAGGAAGTGACTTTAACTCCTTTATACTTTGTTCAGTCTGTTTGATATGATCGACGTCCACTCCTGACCACATCCATTTGCCTATTTCTGTACTACAATAATAGCTCCACCTTGTGGAAAGGCATGATACTAGCTTTAATATACAATGTGTAATGTTTGATAATAGTCCCAGCCTCAGCTGATCTGCATTTACACTTTTTACAGTAGTACTGCCACCTATTGAACACAAGTGGTACTTACTCAGATATGCACAACTGGATAACTCTTGACCCCTAGTTAATGCACCTTTAAAAAGATTCATAAATGTTATAATCAAACAAATGAGCTCTTCATTAGTCATCACATATGTGATTGACCTACTTGATTTCATGTTGAGAACAAAAGCTAAGTGTGCACATCCTCATCACACCTGATGGTTTCAAGCCCCGACCTGTGACCCTCTTCATCGCTGTGTTTGGCTTTAATACAATTTGCCTTTGGTTTTTTGTTAGGATTATGGACATCCTTGTGATTTGTTGTTATTTTTGAATGTCCAGCCTGTGTTTAATGATTCAAACTGATCTTGTTTAAAATGGAAAATAAGGGATAGGACAAGATGACTTATTTTCTTGAGCCTATGCCAGCTAATTGCTTGCCTTTATGTCTGTTTGTTTGTTTTTCCCAAAGATATTCAAATGAAACAACCTAAGCTGCTGTATTTGACAAGTGTGACATTGGGATACACTATTTGCCTGAGAAAAAATGCTAAAAGTCAGAATTGGGAGCACTGGGGTCTTAGAAGTAAAATGACACCATTTTTATCTTTCAGTCCTGTCTGCGTGCCTTGGGCTGGCTTGGCTCTTTATCCAGCTTTCAATACCCCAATCAATGAGCAGAATAGTCTTGATTTTAATCTCTGACAAGATCTGAGATTTGGGCAGCAGTTTAAAGGTCTGAAACCAGGCAACTCTTCACAGAAACAGCAGCCACTGGACCTGAATTAAAGAGCTGTGCGCCGTGCCTGAGTGAGACGCCAAAGCATTTACATTCTTTGCATTCACCGGAGGGCATCAGCTTCTTTTTTTCTCTCATTTTACAGGGCAAAATCCGGAGCAAAAACTCTTCTTGCGTGTCACTGCAGCCAATTCAAAGACTTTAAATGTCCTCTAATAAAACTTTTATCTCTTTGTAGCTCTCCCCTTTAAATTGAATTTAATTAAATTGTTTTTTTTTTCTTCTTTTTTAGATTGGAGCAGGTAAAAAGCCTCTATTCATGATTCATACAGAGATATTTTAGATTACTTCATTCCTTTGTGATTCATTAACACAATAAGTACCTGCCCCGGGGTGATGGATGTAATTACAGTTCAGCTTACAGTCACAGGCCTTTAATCCGCTGATATTCAGTCGTTTCACGCTCACAGACCTGAAACCAGCCGTCCCTCTGTGGATCATATTTCCTCTCTGACTCTGAAGGTTAATCGGATGGGTGCGAGGTCACTTCTCCACCTTCCTCACTTCTTCCTCCTCTCCTTTCTCCCCCTCAGTCTGCCTCATCGTCCTTGCTCACCCGTGTTCTGTCCCCATCCCCCTTCTACCTCCCCTCCATCACTCACCCACCCATGACTCCCTCCCCCTTTTTTTACACCACACAAATAATTCCTCTCTCCTCAGGCGTGCTGTGGCTGTGTATCGTAGCAGAGTGCCTGTACATCCTTCTTCTGGCCACCGGGGGCATCCTCATGTCCATTGAGGTGTGTCATTTTGGGAACGTCATCGATGGCCTCAAGCTCAACGCCTTCGCTGCCATATTCACCGTGCTCTCAGGTCAGTAAGATCATAGTGTCTGTGGCGTTCAGCGACTGTATTAGCTGAGGGGACACCTGGCAGCAGATAGACCCCAGACCCTATTTAAATCTTAAAGTTACTGTGAGAAGTTTTTAACGGGCCATGGTACAGACTGAAAAGTGAAAAAGCCCATCAGCAACAAGACTAACAAACATGGTATCACTTAGTCCACAAGGGGCGCCAAAATTGACCCAACCAAAAGCTCCTCAGGGGAGCTTTAAGTAAAATACAGATCTGAGTGTGCAGTGCTATGAATGTGTGAGAGGTTTCTTTTAAAGGCCATTTTTAAACAGTTATCTGCATGTCTATAGGAAATGCTGTTAAAGTAACCGTTAAATTAATTGCACATATTGATTTTCCAATATTTATTGATCTGCACATTAACCCACAGACCCGAGAACCGCCCCTGTATTGCACCAATCAACTTAGCAGTAACAGTCCGTCAATAGGAGCTAATATCCCCGGGACTGCAGGGAGAATGTGAGGGTCCTCACTGCAAGAAAATATCTAAAACATATTCTGTCTGCCTGAGAGGCATAATTTTGACCAAACATCTCGATCAATACAAAGTTATTACCCATGAAAAATTGATTGAAAATGCAGTTAAAGCTCAGAATGAATGGGTCCAGATTCCTGTTTTCATGCTGGCAGTGGTCCAGTCTCACACTGAGGTCGGTCACCACCTCTCAGCCCTCAGAAGATTCCTGTCAGTGTGCAGCCTGCCTCTCTCTCCCTCTCTGTAGACGATTTAACAATGACCTTCCCTTTAATCCACTCGGTAAAAATGGCCTGACCAGCACGCTCACAGCAGTGAATCAGCAGAGAAGGACACTCTGCTGCATGGCAGCAATGACTCACAGCATCTCAGAGTGACTCCGCAGGTCAGTGTCAGGAAACATAAATAAGGGTGTAAGCTGAAGAAATGAACACCATTAATCCACACCAGGTTTTTCAGGCGTAAGGTTTGAAAGAGAAACACTTTATTGTCTGTATAGAAACAACAAGATTGAAGCTGTAACGCTGTTTGCTGGAGAATAGTGTGAAATGTACTATCTACTCAATAACCTTAAAAGCACACTGAGCAGATTATTTCTGTACAGTCTAAAATGTTTCAATACCTCCAACAGAAATAATGACCATGGCCCAAAAACTGGAGTCAAAACATTCAGAACTCCCCCTTCTGACTTGCTGCTGTGTTCGTCTGTAACCTCGCCCCCTCAATAGTCAAACAACAATGAGGAACTCTTGGTTTGTGCCAGGTCAGGAGACCCCTGTGAACAAAAGAGTCAGTGCTGGTTTAGTTCTCTAAGTGTGTAATTATTTTGCCTTCCAAATATCTTTCCTTCTCTAATTTTACAGCTAAATGTATCACTGATGAGAACTTTTTCCTCGTGTCATCAGTAATTAGTATGACACTTTACAGCCTCCTGTTTTGTTTTGTTTCAACACTAGAAATGAAGATAAATAAGAAGTTGAGTCACTCCTGATTGGTGATTTTGTTATCTATAGGCCAGAGAAACTCCTCACAGGAGTGTTAACAAATGGGACGATATCTGATTGATTATTTTGATTATTATTATTTGAGGTTTTGGCACATCACATGACCCCCACAGCCTTTCTGCTGTTGTGCTCATTCCAGCCCAAGGCTTTTTAGACGCTTAGAAAGACACCAGCCTTCTCCTGCTCTCCTCTCCCTGCTCTCCTCTCTCCTCTTCCTGCTCTCCTCCTCCTGCTCCTCTCCCTGCTTTTCTCTCTCCTCCTCTCCCTGCTCTTCTCTCTGTCCTCCCTGCTGTCCTCTCTCTCCTCTTGCTCCTCTCCCTGCTCTCCTCTTTCCTCCTGATTTTTACCCTGCTGTCCTCTCTCCTCCTACTGCTCCTCTCCCTTCTGTCCTCTCTCCACCTGCTCCTTTCCCTACTGTCCTCTCTCCTCCTGCTCCTCTCCCTTCTGTCCTCTCTCCACCTGCTCCTTTCCCTACTGTCCTCTCTCCTCCTGCTCCTCTCCTTTCTGTCCTCTCTCCACCTGCTCCTTTCCCTGCTGTCCTCTTTCCTCCTGCTTCTCTCCCTATTCTTCTCTCTCCTCCTGCTCTTCTCTCTCCCCCTGCTCCTCTACCTGCTCTCCTCTCCTGTCCGGTGGCTGCCTGATACTCTTAGCACAATATGTTGAGGGTACTAGAGTCCATGATAACCTCCCTGGTGTTTCCAAACGTTGTTACACATTGATCCAAACAGATAAGCACTATAAGTCAAAGTGAGAGCTGTTTGAGGGGAGAGGCAGAGCACACACTCGGCTATGAAAGGGTTAACAACACATTCACCTCATAGGACAAAACGGATGCCACATATCAGGCGGCGCAGTAATGGTCAAGTCCAGATAATATATTTTTATGATCCTCCGGAGTCATAATCATAATTGAAATTGGTATTTGATTAAATTCCCCAGCCCTCATAGTCAGCTATTATCCTGCTGATTGATGTGGGAGTGTTCATTTCTCTGACAAGCTTAGTTTGAATTCGTTTTTAATGCTATTAAAAAGCGAGATAATATTTGTGTGCTCCAGATCGACAGAGTAGAGGAGGGAAGGTGAGAAGAAATCTGACAAACATTGAACTTTCCTTAATGCTGAGTGTCTGTTTCAAACACCCTCAAGACTCTGTCCTGCTGTGGACCACCTGAGGGATCTTAGACGACATCTGTGTTGTAGTTAAAGGAAGGGGCAGTATGTCAGTCCCACAGCTCCACCTGCACAGACTGACTCTAAATGAGCAATATGTCAGCACTCATTAAAAGGGAGGAGCATTCCTACTCTTCTAATGTATCGTATAACACTATTCAATGTAGTGTTAGAAAAACAGCACTTAGATGATCGCGTTTGGAGCCCTCAGGATCCTCTTGACCAACATCTGGAGAACCTCTTGAGAAAACTGTGATGAGTAGACTCTCTGAGCGTTTTATATTGATCTGTTGGTGTCGAGTGGAGATTTCCCTCTTCAGACTGAATCTTTGGACTGATCAGCAGAGCTCTCTGTGATCCTGTGGGCATGTGAATCGATGAAGAGGCTCTGACCTTACTCTTTGAAACCCCTGCTTAATGTTTTACAAGCTCTGTCTCTCATTAGCTACACTAAAAATTGATGTCCAGCTGATCCTGCTGTGTTTTCTGCAGCTAAAATATGTGAATAATGAATAAAAACTCTTTCTCTGATGTAAAGCAGGTGATCTGCTGTTAAGAAGGATCGTTTTAGAGGCATTGAAGAAGGAGGAGAGTTAAAGAGATATTCCGGCGTAAATTTAAGTCATGGTCAAACACACCATAACACCAAGTTAGACACTCCCCCCGAGAGTTGACTGTTGCCGACTGCTTGCTTCGCTAGCATGATAGCAATACACAGCAGTCTGTGGGGAGCCCTGACGAGTTGATTACAAAATGCATCGGAAAATTTATGATTGTTACTTTATGGAAATACAATCAGACCGAGACACTAAAGCAGAAGAACTACCGCGTCCGCAGTGCACATACAAGATATACGAGAACTCTGATTGCATTTCCATGAAGTAACGATAATAAATGTTTTTCCTTGAGCTGCGAAACTCCACTGTACTCGGTGATCGACTCATCAGGGCTCCCCCCACAAACAAGTGGCTGCTGGAGGAGAGTGGGTGAGTTGTGTGTGGTGTCTTTGCTTAAGAAATTAGACAAAGCTGAAAAGATGTTTGGTGGCTTGTGCTGTGGCTGGGACCCTATATGTACTGTTGATGAAGTTAGGTGCTGTTCTGAGCATTTTTTGTGGCTATAGAGTGGCTTTTTGGTTGAGGTTTGCACATGGAGATGTAGACTGCTGTGTATTGCTATCCTGCAGTCATTACTAAAGTTGGTATAACTAGAGAAGCAAGCAGTCGGCAACATTTATCTCTCGAGGGGGTGTCTAACTCTTTAACCCTTTAATGGAAATGTGCTGACGTAAATCTGATGTATTTCATTTGAAGGGCTGAGGTTAGTCGTGTAAATAAGAACATCATATGCAGGCAAACCTGACTATTACAGCTAAAAGGCACTCTGATTGGTTTGGATATGTGAATAATCCAAGTTGTCCGACACGCCCTTTGGACCATGTGCTTAAGCTCCTTCCTCTTGTCTGAATGGTGTCACTTCTGTCTCCATAAAACCAACATGGCACAAATTCCATGCTTCCAAGCTAAAATTATGGCGATGGATTCTATAGCAGTGATTATTTACACAGTTTGTGGTGGCAAACATGAGATTCTTTTCAGAGGAGAAGACAGAAACAACCTGGAGAAAATATTAGACGTGTGGCACATAGCTTGACTGACAGGAGGAAAAATAGATTCATGGGATAGAAACCGTCCTCTGCATCAGAGTGTCACACCATTAAGGGATGGTTGACCATCTTTCACCTTATGGTGTCCTCTGTATTCACAATAAGCTGACAGGAGCAGAACCCACTCGCTCTCTGCTGGTGACACTTTTCAAAGTGGAGCCTCTCTGAGTTATACTTTCTCTCTGGCTCTGAGCCCGCTCCAACTCTTGAGTCCAACGGAAAGTCAACCCGTCAACCCGTCTGTGTGTCTCATGTTTTATTAATATGTGACTCACTGTCTGCAGGAATGAGCCCTGTGCAAAAACAGGGAGCTGAACCCTAAAAAGTTCACTCTAAGTGCAGTGTGATTTTATTTTGTAGCATCTGTCTCAGCCTGGTGGCTCTCTAACTGTTCCCCCCCCCCAGCTCATCACGAACTGGTTTACTGAGCCTGTAAAATGTTTGAATTTAGGACGGTGTTAGAAAGTTGATTCTGTTTTTAATGAACGGAAAAAGACTGAGAGTTTTTACAGCGATGGGGTCCAGGGGAACTATAGAGGAGACCAGATTAAACTTTATTAAACTCGTCAGTCATCCTGGGGGTGAAGAGAGAGGAGGCGGTATGTTAGTTTACGATGCAAAAAAAGAGCAACACAAAAAGCCATCACTGATATCTTACAGACAGTGAACATCCACTGTGGGTCATTAATTTCAGCATCTCTATTAAAAAGCCTTAATGTATTCATTCATCCATCCAGCCGCACTGTATTGGTACATGTTGCACTTCACTGATGATGGAAATGAACTGTGTTTAGCCAAATGGAAAAGAACCACAGTGTTGTCTTTTCACTTTCTGATTGTAAACACTGAGCTACCTCAGTTTGAACAGATTACAGCTGACAATCCAGAGAAATGTGGAGTCACTTGTGATATAAACTAAACCTGGTGGAAGCAGATCTACTATGAAGTCAGGTTAAAGACACAGATTTAACACAGACAACCAGGCCAGCGCGTTCATCAAAGTCTCTGAGCTCTGAGATTTTCCTTTTAAAGTAAGCCTTTGTAAAAACAGCTGTCCAGCATCCTTTCAACTCAGGCTGAGTGAAATGTTGTATGAACATCGCAAATGCAGTGCTGACATTTGCAGTAATCACAAAGCAAGGACATGCAACGTCAGTCATGTGACCTGAAGCATATCATGTTGTCAACTCTCTGCCATTATCCAGAATGAATCAGTGTTAAACTGAAATCACTCTCATTTAGAGACACATAGAGCTGAACCCTGTGCAGGCAGTATGTATCTATATCACATTACCACAGAATGTAAACGTGCACACAAGCCGCTACACGTCTGCTATCACAGATGCTCGGTGCTTGTTAATGTGGGAGACACATGGATGGTTCCATGAAGTGGTTACTGAGTGGTTACCATAGACTGTATACAGAATGGACGCCGTCTGCCTCCTCACTGAGTGAAGCCACCACGACAACAGCACCCTCTGGTGACAGGCTGCAGTATAGGTCATAAATCCCGCCTCTTCCAGCAATCCCTATGGAGATGTGGACAAACTTTAGAAATGAATTATACAGGATGTAAATTCTTCTCTCCCCTGGTTGCGATGTTGACATGTAGTTACTGTAAGACAGGTTTGCGCTCAAGTCCTCTTTTTTCTTTGCAGCTCCATTTTTAAAAGTTATTAAGGGGTTCATGTTTTCTATGATTGACACTTGATACAGCCTATGTGTGTACAAAGATTATATAGATCACCCAGGAGATACACTTTTCGAGCCAAGCATCATCACAGCAACTCTCCTGCAGAATGTGTACAATGCTACTGCACAAGTGGTGGTTTCAAGAATGGGAGAAAATCCTGGAAATACCGAGAGCAATTCGGCTTCAAAGTCATATAATGACGTAAGGCAGAGCTAAGTTGTCCATAGTGTATACAGTCTATGGTGGTTATTTTTAGTTTTTGTTTCAACTGGAAGGACCATCACAGGGCTTGTGACACAGCTTTAATGCAATATTGAGCATTGACTGAATGTATTAAGTTAGTTAATGGTTAGAAACAAATGCATCACTGCATGTCTGTCACAATAAGAGCTCAGGTAAAATCTATTAAAAGAGAAACTTCAAACTTTTAGGTTAAAAAAAGGTGCATGGATATATACTGTTATTAATATCAGTATCTGCAAAAATGAGTTTCAAAATATTGGCATATTGGTAATTCACTGTCATGCATCCCTACAGTTCCAGTTTTATGTCTAGATCCAAAATGCATCCAAATATCAACGTTTTAGGTGCTGACTGTTATATCTTTCAAACTTGTAAAAGTAACTATCAAAGACTGTACTTCCGGCAGACTTTTAAAGTAAAGCTATCTGTGCGTTGAGTCAGCTCCCACACTGACCATTAAAAGGTTTCACTGGAACATAAACTGAGTTAAATAGAGATGAAATCAAACACTGAGAGGAACCGCGACTTAGAATGAGAGAAGGCTGTATCCCAAGCAGTGAAATTAGTAGATAGTTGGAATTGAATGGGCTCAGACACACTGGTGGGAATGAACACAAACATGAGTGGAATGTAGGAATGAAAATAAATCCTCTTTATGTAATTGGAGTGCATTTAGTGGGCGTGGCTAAGACTAACAGCACCTTGGGGGACTGTAGAAGAAAACCCATCTGTTTGAGCCACACCTCTGTCATAAACAGTTTTACATTAGGAGTAGACAGGATGTTGTTTTCATGTTTCTCTGCTGTAACCCACTTCTGCTGACACACTCTTTTGAACAGGTAGCTTTGATTTAACAGAGATGTAAACCCCAGCAGGACCTCCTGCTGTGCTTTCATTATAAACACTGACAGCTGATTATCAGACGGGGCTCTTTGATGCAGCTCTGCTTCTGACACCTACACACCGCTCACCATCAGTGCAAACAGTACAGTGTGTAGTTTTCAGCATCATTTATCCGAATATGACATTTACAAGTATATTTAAATAGGTGCAAAATCAATTGAAAGTTGAAACCAATGTGTTAATGTCAACTTAAATTGAGCTCCTGCTGTGGCTGTGCAAGCTGCATCTGTTCAAAGAAGAAGACGTATTTGATCAGGATCATCTATTTTTCATGCATCACAGGAGCTTCTTGTCCTTGAAGGCCACCGTCGCCTCACTGATGAGAAGTGATGAGCAAGGGAACATTTCAATATAGAACTGCCAAGTATCACAAAATATGCTCGTAATACTCACTGAACCTTTAAGTGTTGAGTGAAATTTGGATGAAAGTCTGTGTCATAAAGCGGAGAGGGGACAAAAGATATGATCCACCTGCAGAGGGGCTTCAGAAAGTGATTTAAAACACTGAAAGAATAAAAAGAGTAACAGATAGGAAGTATTATTTATTCAAATTTACCCACAGATCAAAATTCGATCCGAACACTTGCTCATTTAGTTAACCTTGCCGCCCCCTGGTGGCAGCAGTAGGTGATGAGATGCTGCAGAGCGCATGTGTTGCCGTGCGTCCTTGTGAAGTGTTAGGCTGCAAAATAAAGCACCTGAATGGGCTCCTCTTCCTTCTATAATCTAACGTGACCTTGTGTGATCACAACACGCCTCTTCATTTCCACATGACAGAACGTTCCAGATCTCAGATTTGTTCCTCAGCTCTGACACAAAGCCTCCTCAGATCTGCATATGATTATCATAATGTTTCAGAGGGATATCCTCACGAATAAACATGAGCTCTGATGGGATGAGATGGAGTTTAGGTGTTTGGATCTGCTCAGCTCGTGGAGGATTTTACAGGCTTATGCTGTAATCGGATCGGTGGGCTACACACTCTGGTTTTTATCTTTACTGTAATTTATAACCACTGAGGAAAGAGGAGGGATGACAGACTATCTATAACTAAAAAAACAGGCAAAAACTGAAAGAAATGGAAGAAAGAGAGGGAGGAACAGTCAAGAGCTAGTAGAGAGGAAGAGGAGGGGAGAAGCTCAGATTGGATGAGTGGAAGTTAAGCACTGAATCAACAACATGAACAAAGAGGGGGTAAAAAATATGTTACTGCTGTTTATTTTACTTTAAAAGTATCTTCTGAGACCAATATGTTTATTTCCTGTGAATATAACAAAGACAGATGCTTTAATTTTGAAATTAACTACAAAGAAGAGAAATGGTGCATAAACAGAGTAATGTTAACAAATGATAATTAATAAGTTAAGGTTGATAGAAGCACCTGGTTTGTATGTATTCAATCACTTAAGTACTTTTTAGTAATCACTTTGAAGAGGGAAATTTTCTAAACACCTGTTTCATAAAACATAAACTATGAGCCAAACTAATCTGAATGTGTGAAAGATAACGTCTAAATATTAATTCATTCATACGTAAAGTATCCTGGTTATACAGGCTGTGTCAGTGGAGTTTAGTGTATTATGAGGTAACACTGCCACCCTGTGGGGACTGCAAGAACTGCAGGAGTGTTTGACTCAGAGGCTTTAAGTTTTTTTCTGGTGTGTGTGTGTGTGTGTGTGTGTGTGTGTGTGTGTGTGTGTGTGTGTGTGTGTGTGTGTGTGTGTGTGTTTCAGGTCTGCTAGGTATGGTGGCCCACATGATGTACACCACAGCCTTCCAGCTGACCGTGAGCCTGGGTCCAGAGGACTGGAAACCTCAGACCTGGGACTACAGCTGGTCCTACATGTGAGTCATGTGGCACACTGTGATGTACAGAAAATATATATATGTATGAGATAATATGAGATAAGTTTAATGGCTTAGACATCTTCTTCTCACAAAGTCCCCTTCATAAGCTATTAAGATTTCGTGGACTTGCTTTAAGTTGTTAAAATTTGTTGAACTGATACAACGTACAGTAAAAATTTTGAACTGGGGAAAATCGATCATTTCAAAACAGATCTGATATTTTTTGTGAGATTATGCTTAAACAGAGAGCCAAATGGCTTTGTTCATCTTATAGACAGGATTTTAAAATGTGTGTCCACAGACTTACAACGCAAACCTTCCTCCTCCATGTAAACAGATGGGACACTGGTCAAACTTAAAAATACAAATGCACATCAAAAACATGTCCCCCAACTATCGTGCCTTTTGTTTTATTAAGTACTTGTCAGTTTGATTTACATCCACATCTTTATATTTCTAACAAGTTTTGCTTGAATTGGTTATTGTTGCCATAAAAAGGCATATCTGATTATGATTGACAGCTCTGTTAACAAATAGGGGTCCTGCATTGCTGTATAAATAAAAAAAATACATTTACATTGTGGAACAAAACACTATTTGCCGATCCATGTGAATGATTTAAGTTCAAACTCTTCGATTTGTGTGTCCTGCAGATTGGCTTGGAGCTCCTTCACAGCCTGCATGGCGTCCTCGGTCACCACCATCAACCGCTACACCAAAACCATCCTGGAGTTCAAGCACAAGCGCAGGAACATCGAGAAGAACCTGAAGATCAAACAGAAGCTTCTGGAGCTGGACTCACCGGAGCAGGTGTGGGACATGTATATCAGCTCTGTGCCCAGCACGGCCGAGGAACTGCTCGACCTGTCCTCCAATGGCCGAAAACTCTCCAACACCTCCATCTTCTTAGACCTGAACGATCTGCCAGACCCACAGGGGGAGGAGTACTGCTAGAGGAAGAGCCTCTTCAGACATCAGCAGCGCGTGATCAGGTTCAAGGTGAGACGATGATATGAGTACTGCAAACAGCACTAGACCACGGCTGAGAGAGGAGGTGTCACTGCTACAATAAATCCTTTATGAGGCACGACTTTAAAGTGAACAACTCATAAACAGTAAACAGAGAACCACTTCATCACCGCAGTCCCCTTTAAACCCATCACAGCCTGACTTACAACACACTAGCATTCTAATTGGGTTACAATAAACCAGGTTGTCGTATAATAAACTTTTACAACAGGGCTAAAATGATTCCTCTCATAGCGTGAGTAACTCAAAGCTTGGTCAAAATTCATAAAGCTATCTGGCAGCAGAAATGGACCGTTGGAGGTCCCACGAGCCAAACATGCCTAAAAACCTACATTTACCAGCAATCAGACACAAAAATGAAATGAATTTATTCAATTATAATCATGCACCAAGAGACAGCTCACCGATACCAACCTACTGCACTGATAAGGAAGGAGGGAGAGAGGGACCTCTGAATCATAACAACCTTATTTTGATAAAATAAGATTTTAACAAGATTTACAACTTAATTCCTCAAATCTTTCTTTCATTCTTGATGTGGCTCCATTACCCAACAGTACTCAGTTCATTTAAAGTGCATTATAATCACTTATGATAATGTGCACAAAATCAGAGTTAAAGTTGATCACAGTAATAACAGCAAAAAAATGAATAAATCAACAGCTCACCTCCTTTCTCCACACCATAAAGATAACAGGTGACTTAACTCAAAGTATTGAGAAGATGGTCAGAATTCTCAGATATCCTTTGATATTCAGGATTCTGAGATTAAAGCAAATACTAAATAAAGAGTTTAATTTGGATGAAATTAAGTTTATGATTGCTTTAATTAAAAGCAAAACAAAAAATCTAAATGTTCTCTAAAACGAACTTTCTTAAAGCCTTTTAACTCTCTCAGCCTCCTCAGCTGTGGGCTCGGTTCTTTGCAGAAACTATATTAATGTCTTAGAATTGAACTGGTGATGTTTAAATGTAAGACCTGGACTCTTTAAGGACCACCGACCATGTTTTTTTACACCTGGAGCTCTACCCACATGTGTGTTGAAGGGTGTTGAAGAAAAGCTGCTTAAATCCTGAGAGTCTATCAGAAGGACAGCTAAAGCTGCTAAAGCTGTGACAGTCTCACACTGCCGGACCGATCAGTGATCAGGATCCATATATTGACTCTAATGTGGGACACATACTGAACACTGAAGTCATGATCCTCTGCTCCCACCATCACAAGAAGCAAAGTAGCTTCAAACACACTGTTGAAGGTTAACTGCTGTATCATGATATTTAAGGTATTTGTCTTAACAGGGCTCCAGACTAACAGCGAGAAGTCACCTTGGACTCATCCTGGATGAAAAGCATTGTGACTGTATGTGAATTTGAACTCAGAAAACTGCGCCCTGAATGCAGCAGAGGTCCCAGTAAGCCCTAACATGATTTTCTCGTTGTGTTTCAAGTCGGTTTCTTTGTGTTGGTCATTTTTTCAACCAGAATGTTTGAATCATAGACTGTATATAGAATGGACTCTGTCTGCCTCCTCACTGACTGAAGCCACTGTGAGAACAGCACCCTCTGGTGACAGGCTGCGGTATAGGTCATAAATCCCGCCTCCTCCAGCAATCCCTATGGAGCTGTGGACAAAGTTAAGAAATGAATTACAGAGAATATAAATTCTTCTCTCCCCTGGTTGTGATGTTGACATGTAGTTATTGTAAGACTGGTTTGTGCTCAAGTCCTCTTTTTTCTGTACAGCTCCATTGTTAAGAGTTATTATGGGGTTCATGTTTTCTATGATTGACACTTGATACAGCCTATGGGTGTACGAAGATTGCGTAGCTAACCCGAGGGATTCGCTGTTTGAGCAGAGGGTCATCAGAGCGACTCTCGGCTACTCTCCCACTGAATGCATGCAGTGCAGCTGTGCAAGCGGTGGTTCCAGGAAGTAGAGAAAATCTCAGAAATACCGAGAGCAATTCGGCTTCAAATTCTTATAATGACGGAAGGTGGAGCCAAGTTGTCCGTAGTATATACAGTCTATGGTTTGAATTCAAAGTTCTATGCATGTTGAAGTTAGTGTCAGTGTGTGAGAGGAAAATCCTTTTAAAGGTGCAGTGTTTGGAAATGTGAATTATTCAGCTGTCAAATTCTAGACTGTAATGCCCCCTTGCTCACCCCTGATGTCAAAAGAGCAACGATGGCCTTCAAGGTCAAGAAGTTCCTGTGATACATGACAGGTAGGATCCTCCATCAAAAAGTCTGTCTTTTGTGCACAGTAACCAATCTATTCTTCTCGGTCGTCCTCTCATAAAAACATGTTTGTGAGTAGTTTGACCCTTCTGTGCCGCTGTAGCACAGAATCGACTGTAACATGGCAGTGCAAGATGGCAGCCTGCTCCCATGTAGGTTTCAAAGGCTCATTGTAAGTGAACAAAAACAAATCCAACTTGCTATCCAGTGATTATACACAAATATAAACATACTTGTAAATATGTGGTATTTCTAAAAATTGTGTCCTGCTAAATGCAACTGCACCTTTAATTGAAAGCTGCTTTATTTAGCATTACTGATATTAATGAAATATGTATTATTTAAAAAGTTACAGATAGTCAGTGATTAAATCCAAATGGGATGGTAGATTAATGTTGACATTGACATACAAATCATTAAAGCATAAAAGCCTTTTTTTTTTTCGTTATGGTGGAGTGGAAGGTTAGTCTGGAGCCTTGGAGAGGCACAGTACCAGAGGAGGGAGCCAAGGACTGTAGCTCTGCCCACACAGGAAACCAGGTGTGGAGAATGACTGTAACCTGGTTGGAGGATGTGTGCAGGCCTGCTGAGTGCCTTTCCTTCCAGCAGCATGCCACTGATCACACAGCATGCTCTGTGCTCATCACATTTAAAACCTGACGCTGTGTGTATGTGTGTGTGTTTGTGTGCTTGTGCCAAAACCATCAGAGATCTGAGCGTGCTCAGTACAGCTCTCTGTGTACTTGATTAACAGGATCTTTTCTTATGAGCATTCATGAATTTTTGATGGAGAAACACAGAGCAGGGTTGTCGCTCTTTACAGTTATTATAAGTGCATTTTAAATATCTATGATATTTCTGTTTTATTTATAAAGTGAAATGTATTGTGTTATAAACTCTAAAATTCAGGTCTGGTTTAATTCAGTTCTCTTCATTCTGGATTGTGGTTTTCACTGAAGCATGGGTGGTTGTGGGGTTTTGTGGGTCAAACTCCTTTTTTTGTGTTTTTAAGTTTTATTATGTGTGTAAATATTTGCAACCTACTATACTGATATAAATGAATTTCTATGAAAATGCATTATTTGAAATTTAAGAGGAGACAAAATAATAAAGAAATTTTCTTGTTTTCAACTGAGTTTTCTTTTATTTCTGTTTCTGACACTTTCTTTCATGTCCACTCGATGGCAGTGTCCTCCAACTCTGACAGCTGACGAAGCTGAGTGACGCAATTTCAACCAAGAAACAGAATCAGGAATCTGACCCCTGCAAACTTTGCTTTGATTTTTGTAATCTTTAAAATAAAAATAGTAATCAATATAATAGAGCCTACATTAAAAATTAAATGTTTTTTTAATGTTACAGGGCCACATGAAACCTAGAATATTACAGTGAAATAACATGCTGCGGTGAGGAGTGCAGAAGATGCTGCAATATGCATAAACGTAAAACTGGTAATACGTAATTTCAGATGAGGTGCTGTCAAACAAGTCGTGCAATGACTTTGCAGCCTTTTTTATAGATAAAATTCAAAATATTAAGACAAACAGTAAGTGGCTCCTTCTCAGGCCACTTGGTTAAATCAGCTCCTCTTCAATCTTCTAGCCATCTCGATAAGTTTTAACTCATAGACCATGCAAACGATAAGGGACAAAATAGAATATGTGAGAAAAATCTGCACAAACATGAACTTTGCTTAAAAATAGTTTTTATTTTGATGCTTTCAAACTAGTGCAAATACATGCAAACTGAAACACTCGACCCTGTAGACATCCTGAACACTCAGAGGAGCAGCCTCTGATTGGTCCACCACCTCTCATGGATCTCACCTGTTCCTGTTCGGTCCTGTTTGCGGTCCGTTTACGTCTCTGCAGGTAGAGCAGCCAGATGCTAACCTGAAGCTCTCACTTAAATGTGTGAGAGATCCACAGCTGCTCCTCACATCCATTTCTCCACATCCATTATTCAGGAATACAAAACCACTCAGTCAGACCTGAGCTCATGCACAGATCCTCTCATTAAACATTCATCCTCGCTTTTATCCGGAGCGATGCAGGGCAGACAATTCTCAATACGTATGCACCGAATGCCCTTAAATACTTAACCAGAGAGACTGAAGAACAAACAGGTGGAGAAACGGAAAATATTAAAATTCAGGAAAAAGAAATTCATCTGTTTTGGTTTGGACTAGATTTAGAGCATCAGGGTTTGACTGCAGAAACACTAAAGCTACTCTGCGTTTTTCACCAGTTGACTTTTTACATTCCTAACCCACTGAAACCACCATAAATGCTTACTCTGACCCCTTCAAGTGGGAAAACACAGCCTCTTAAAGGAGGCGGATACAGGAGGACATCTGTGTTCGATGCATCCTTCTATGCTAATAAGAGATGAAATGACACTGATGACACTCAAAAACAAGTTCAAAATGTGACTGATTGGTTCAGGTGAATGAAATGACACCGGGCATTTATTCTTAAGTCATTCAGGCGCCCCCTGCTGGTCAGAAACAGGTAACTTGCTGTCTGTGTACCGTCAGATTCCAAATCATTTCTGCACAAAATGTCACTGCCAGCCAAAGTCTTGCCCCGCCATCTGGTAGAAGCGCTGGTTGTGAGGTTTGTAGAAGTCCCTCAGTCTCTGCAGCACCTGCGGGTCGATGAAGGCGTGTGTCCGGCCCTTTGTTTTGCCCAGGCAGTGAGGTTTGCTGCTGCCCTCCGGCTTCTTCAGGCAGGGGAAGCCCTTCGTCTTGTTGAAGTAGAAATGTTTGTCCGTGACGATCCTCTGCAAACCCAAGAAGTCCTGGACTCGGCCAAGCTCCCCGGCCGGGTCAGTGATGAGACGTTCCCCGCTGACAAGGTGGATCTGAGTCCTGGGGAACCAGGCTAGCCAGCGCTCCAGGTGCTGGGCATACAGGCCGATCCACAGCGGGCTCCACTGAGAGTCAATCTGACCTGGAGACAAGGCAAAGGGACACAGTATTCAGTTTGTTTAAGTTCAAGTCTTGAGCTGACTTGAATGGTTACCGGTCTTTTGCAGTTGGTCTGGTGAAGAGAAACTAAAAGTTTGACTCAAAAGGGTGAAGGAAACAAAAACAATAAGCTTTGATTCAGAGGGAATGAAAATGTGAATTATTAAAACAGGTTTGGACTTGACCCATGGTCTATTTGCTTGTTGCCAAAAGAACTTAGTGGCCACCACGTATAATAAGTTGATACACTTTTACAGAATAAACAAGATTCAAACATGATTACCGCAAATCCTCAAGGTTAGGCCAGGTCTCATTGTTTTTACTGTTTTAGATACCAGGCTTTTATATAAAGCAGGCTTTTATTAGGGGCAGGTCTTTACTTTGAATTCTCTCTGTCTTGAACATTCAAACTGTTATTTTTTTAGAGCAAAATTGGGACCTGCAAAACTTTGTCAAAGTTAGAACAAAGGGTTCTATGCCTCACAAACTGCACTACCATGGAAAGTGTCTTTGTCTGCCAGTGATGTTTACGCTCCACTTGTAAATGTGATGACAACAGTTTCTCCTCTGAATGACCCGGAAATAATCAATCCAAACATTATTCAGTCATATCACAGTATGTGGACAGAGATATATTTATTTATTATAAATGTCAGGACTTTAATCAAGCTAAGTCTGTTTGTGGCTCAACCTTCTAACAAACAGACTCTGCTGTAACAGACTCTCCTGGATTAGGTAAGTGTTTGGGGCCTTTTGAGCCGTGTGTCCCCATTGGTAAAGGTCTTTGTTTACTTCAACACCTTCCAAAGCTTTCACTTTATTCCAAGAATCCATCTCAAACCCCTAAAGTAAGACCTCAGGGGGATTACCTGTGGTTTTGTTCTTGAAGGCGAGGATCTCAAACGGGGGGATGTCAGGGGTCTTGGAGATGATCTGGGTGTAGTCAGATATCGCTCTGGTCACAGGATCGCGGACAACCACGATCAACTTCACATCCTGGGACATGGCGTGGACTCGAGCTGGAGTTTCCACAGTAACAAAGTAGCGAGGAGTCTTCTCCATCACGATCTGACCGTCTAGAGCTTTGGGCATCATACTCCTGGAAATAAACACAAGAAATATGTCATTTAAAGCTCCTGTGAGGAACTTTCAGTTTATTTTTACTTTGGCGCCCCCTGTGGATGAACCATCCTCTGCTTAGGTTGTCCTCTACATGTTTAAGACAAAAAGTCTCATCCTGCTAGACAAATATTTCCTTTATTGTGAATATTTTGAAAGAAATTGTAAAAATAGGACTGTTTCTGCAAACCTGTTTGGCGCACATCGACCCTCTCACACTGAATTCAGACATTAAAATAGAGGTCAATCTTGTTGCAGATGGTTTTGTTTGCTATCTTATTTAGCAAGTGCATTTCTTTAAATTTCAGTCTATTGCATTAATATTAAAAAAAAACATGTTAGTGCAACAGGGATGATGCCTCTGCAGAAACACATACTTAAACGCACTCTCTCTGTCCGTCACATCAACAAACAGAGAGTGACCAGGTGATCCTGTCAGACAGTCAGGTAACAGCAGAGCTACACAAACACACACATACACACACACACACTCAGAGTGTTTGTCACCTCCACCTGCCTGCTCACAGACGGCCGGCAGATTGGACTCATTTAGAGATAAATGAGTCCCACAGGACTGCTGAGACTCAGGGACATCTGCCAACACACCTGCTATACACCTGACCACCTCACAAACACAGCCTCAGAGCTCAGTCACACATTCACACACAAACAGACACACTCATACACATCAGGAGATTGGTGTCAGCTTTAAGACCTACTGTGCACACATTCAGGTTTGTTGTTTTTTGTTATGTCTTACTCATAGAGACATGTAATTCACTGAAATATTAAACAAAAAATAAAACGTCCTTTAGATGCTGCTTGAACGTTTCTCCTTTTTTGTGTTTATTGATAAATCCGATTTAAAAAGAGAGTCGATAAAAATGTGCTAAATTAATCCTTAAGGAGACTTAAATAAACTGAGCTGAAGCAGAGAGAGGACAGGATGCTGAGAGCTCAAGTTTCACATATTCTCCTGCAACACAACCTCCTGTCCATAAACACACACACACACCACACACATACAGCCCCACCTTTATAAGCACAGATACACACACACACACACACACACACACACACACACACACACACACACACAGAGAGAGAGAGATAGTGATTCATTTGATCTGATGGGTGTGAGGCAGTGTTTACCACCACTCAGCCTGAAGACTTCCTTTTTAGTCAAAAAACCAAGAGCAAGAGGAGCCGCAATGTCTGACTGTCTGACACACACATGCACACACTATATATATATATATATATATATATATATATATACACACACACACACACACAATAAACAATACGCACATGTACTCACACTCGTATACACACAGACACCACAGAAAAACACTCAGTTTTGTCATTAGCTAAACATTTCTATCATGCCCCTGACCTCTAAATGGAGCAGCCATTCACACTACAACACGCACACACACAAAGTCACACAAACAAACAAACAAACAAACAAACAATTTTCTAATAAATAAACAAACAAACAGTCTTCTAATAAACAAACAAACAGACCATTTTCTTATATACAAACAAACAAACAAACAAACCGTTTTCTAATAAACAAACAAACAAACAGTCTTCTAACAAACAAACAGACCGTTTTCTAATAAGGCAGCACTGTATTAAAAAACAGCATAAAACAGTCATGACCCGTCGCTGCACAGGCTCCAGATCACTCCCACAAAAAACAATCAGTGAATACAACTCACAGCTGTATTCACAGCAGGTTCAAACTGCACTATGCACAAATGAATTCAGAAATATGGCCCATAGACACAGAGACTTCTCTAGACTCCAGCACGTTTAGATTTATGGTGGACTGTCCCATAGTCTGACCAACCAAACTGAGACGTACTATCTGGAACTCATGGATGTTGCACCGCTCTGAAGAGGAGAGGGACCACAGTTCACTCAGTTGATATCACAGTTCTTAATACCAACATCTTGGTAAAGTTGGTAAAGGCACCACTAATGTGAATAATATAAACAGGTTTAGGAGGAACACATGATGTCATCCAGACACTGACTTTTTCAGGGAAGACAGGGAAGACATATTTCAGCAAGACAATGACAAACCACATTCTGACAACAGGTTTTTTAACAGCATGGCTCTGTAGGAGAAGAGTCCTGCTGAGAAACTGGTCTTTCTGCAGCCCCGACTTGTTACCCAATAAAGACATTAAATAAAATAAAAAATAAAACAAAATCTGCGACTATGAGATCTAAAACTGTTAAGCAGCTGAAATCTTAAAGGGAATTTAAGTTATGGTCAAATTTCAGCAGAAAATTTATGATTATTATGTCATGGAAATGCAATCAGACCGAGACGCTAAGGCAGAAGAACTACTGCGTCTGCAGTGCACATACAAGATACACTAGAACTCTGATTGCATTTCCATGAAGTTATGATCATAAATGTTCTTCCTTGAGCAGCGAAACTCCGCTGTACTTGGTGATTGAGTCATCAGGACTCCCCTACAAACAAGCGGCTTCTGGAGGAGAGTGGGTGAGTTGTGTTTGGTCTCTTTGCTAAAGAAACCAGGCAAAGATATAAAGATGTTTGGTGGCTAATACTGTGGTTGGGACCCTATATGTACTGTTGATGAAGTTAGGTGCTGTTCTGAGCATTAATTATGGCTATAGAGTGGTGCTATAGACGTAGACCACTGTGTATTGCTATCCTGGGGTCGTTACTAAAGTTGGTATAACTAGAGAAGCAAGCAGTCGGCAACATTCATCTCTCGAGAGGATGTCTAAGTCTGGGTTACAGTGTGTTTGACTACAACTTAACTTTATGCCAGAATATCCCTCTAAGTCAGGACAGACTTTGTAACTTTAAAAACATTTCTCCTTAGCTCTCAAAGTTTGACAGAGTGATATCAGAAGAATGGACAATGAATTGTCTTTGTGCTACTGGGGTTGTAGATGTGCGTGCGTGCGTGCGTGCATGTGTGTGTAAGAGTGTGTGTAGGTGTGAGTGTGTGTAAGAGTGTTTTAAATGAAAGAGGATGGTCACAGATGCAGAAATGATGGGAGTGGATATAAATGTTGGTCCATTAGCAATCAGTCTGGTATCATCCACAGAACCTTTTACCGTCACTGAGCGGTAATTGCAGCCCCTGAGAGCCCATCAAAGAATAGCTCTATCATAAATATGCTTCTGTTATAAACTCAGACAGACAGATTCATGGACAAATAAGCTGCGGCTTTTTCAAACACACAAAAAACAGTCCTGTATGTTATTCTGGGCATTAAAAGCAGCAGGATAACTTCCATGCATTGTCATGTTTTGGGTATTTTGTGTCTGATTAGTCAGATTTTTTTGTTTTAATAGAGAGCCTGCATGTTGTTGATGTCAGTTGTGCAGCTTACGAGTCATTTTATGTCTCCTCATGGCTGTTTTGAGTACTCTAAATGTAGTTTCGTCATTTTTTGATAGTCGTCTTTGAGTTTTCATATCTTTGTCATCAATTCTTAACTTTCTGTCAGGTTTGTGTGAATTTTTTGAAGAGGAAGTGATGAGGATGTCTTGATATTGTTACTGCGCCTGTGTGCTTGTACAGGGGGGCACACATTCAGCAGAGGGGTCTCATCTCTGGCGGGCGAACAGAGCCGGCTGGTGTCACCATGTGTTTCAGAGGAAACCCCCTCCACATAAAGGATGGCTCAATTAATTGGCAGTTTAAACCCCTGTTTTACCAACATCCTTACACCGCTCATTTACTGCTGAGAGCGAGATCAAACATCCAGAGAGACCAACACGGGATTATCTGCAGATTATAATAAGCCTCTGTTTGCTTTGAGGAACCTCCTTTTGTCAGCCATTTCCCGATAATTCAGCCGTCCTCCCCGGTGGATTACAGCGGGCCAGCCAAGGCCACCGGCTATTGATCCTGGGGGGGCTCAGGGTAAGGATGGAAGAGGAGGGGGGACAGTGGGAATGGTGTGTGTCAGGTTGAGAGATGTATGATGGTGTGTATGAAGCAGGAGTGTGTGTGTTTGTGTGTGTGTGTGTGTGTGTGTGCTCTGAGCCTCAGCTGGGAGGAGGAGGAGTGGCAGGTGGAGACTGGGGGAGCCAGGACCCTTTGGAGCCATCAGCAGCATGCTGTGTCATGTGATGTGTGTGTGTGTGTGTGTGTGTGTGTGTGTGTGTGTGTGTGTGTGTGTGTGTGTGTGTGTGTGTGTGTGTGTGTGTGTGTGTGTGTGTGTGTGTGTGTGTGTGTGTGTGTGTGTGTGTGTGTGAACAAATGTAAAACAATTGCCATATTCATCATATGGAAATATTCAGAGGAGGAGGATTTGATGGATCAGAGATGTTCGGTGTAACTTTAGAGAAACAATCAGCCTCCTGTGTTCATTAAACACACCTGACCGCTCATCACTGACTCACAATCAGAGCTCAGCCTGTGTTTGTGTGTCTGCATGCATGCATGAGTGTGTTATTGTGTGTGTTATTGGGGGAACGTTAAGGGGTCGGAGTATTGTGGCTGTGCCCTGTCCACTTCCAGGAGACATCCATCATAGAGGGGCCCCGAACCCCCCCGCCCCAGCTCCCCCTGCCCCAGGGGAGGGCCTTAATGAGGGCCAGATCGCCCCGCCCGTCTGGGCCTTATGGTGATCACCTCCAGTACAGTACTGAAAGGGGGGGGCGCCACACCTGAACCCCAGCTACTCACATACACACGCACACATTTAAAACTGCTCTCAGATAGGTAGAGACTTTAGACTCTGAATCGTCTGTTTATCTGGGGCGGCAAAAACAAAAGTTTAAGGAAACACTGATGTCATTACCTCAACTTGACACAGACAACCATTGTTTATTGTACAAATGACAAGGCTACCAGCTCATGTATTCTCTTGACTCTTAGATTACATTAACCAGGAAACCTTGTCTCTCTGTGTCATTAATCCTAAACACAGGAAAAGTTCCATCTAATGCCATCAAGAGTCCATGATTCGCCACTCTGCTCACTGTTAAAACACACCTTTTGATTGTCACTTACGAAAGAAGACATTTAGTGCACAATGTTCTTTTGTGATGTTGGACTTCATCATCACTTACTGGTCTTTTAATCAGGGTTCCAGTTTAACTATTTTTCTGTTTAGCGGCTGCCCTCATTTCTCTCACTTTTAATCTGATTTCTTCAGATTAAAAGTGAGTAAAGTAACTTGCAAAACATCTCAGAGTGAATCTCACTACTTTTCCCCCTTTGGGCTCTAATGTATCACCATGTAGAAATTATACATGATGTGATACGGAATTACATTTTCCAACCCAAAAACACAGAGTTACTATGGCAACAGAGAGGGAAATAAGAGCAGCCACTGTGATCACATTTTACATACACGATAAATATTACTGGTGAAATTTCAAAGTTACAAATAATATGAATGACATTCAGCTGGCACTGTGGATGAGATTGACTTTTACAGTAGTTGTTATTTTTCCCTTTTGTCATCATTTGTTTGTCTTTGTAGTTGTATGTGTTTCTGTCTTCTCCTCGTCTCCTTAAAGACTGAAAAAATGTTGTTTTTTCATGTTTGTTACACATGTTTGTCCTTTTAAGGTCTCATAATGTATCTTTGCCATCTATCTTTGTCTTATTTGAAGTTTTGTCTCTCATGTCTCTTTGTGGGGGTTTTCTGCACCTCCCTGTATAAATATTAAGTTTCTCTCCTCAGCTGATTTGTATAATGCTCCATTTGTGATTTTTTCCCCCCTTCTTTACATCCTTCTTCTTATTTTTTGCCCTTTTCTGTACACCTGTGCTCTTTAGTACTCATTTATCATTCTTTTGTTTCTCTTTGCTGAAATGTATGGAGCCCCTGAAGGGACATGAATGAAAAAATAATAATTTAAAAATAATTTTCTCTAGATTTTTTGCGAGATCTCAAGAATATTGCAAGATCTCTCCAATGTTGTCTCAGGAGTTCTTGGTCAGTGTATTACGTCCATGTAAATTCAACAATAATATTTGAACATATGTAGCCATGAGAAAGGTTCATTGAATATTATTTTGAACTCATTTCCTGCCCACCTTGTCCCTTTGCATGCACATTATGCCCTCGTTCGAGAGCATGCAGAAATACTTTTTAAATTTTTTTCCTTCATGTTCGTTTAGGGGCTCCACAGAAATGCCTCAGGCTATTTTGATATTTCTCAATCTGTTTTTTGTGTGTGTGTTTCTTAAAGTGCCATATTTGGTCACTGGGAGGAATTTTTTCGTGGTAATTCTGCCTGTTATCATTTTTGTCTCTTTCCTGTGCAGGTCTTGAGCAAGACAAAACACCTGAATCCCTGCCCCACTCAAACTCACATATCTGTCCTTCAACAGGAGGTTCTGTGGTGCAAAAGTGACAAAACATGCAGAAAATGATTTTTTTTTAAATAAACAAATAGAATAAAATATTTAAATCCTTCCCTGCAGATTAACAAACCTGATCCATTTTAAAATCTGCCTCCTCGTGTTTGCTGTTAATTCCCGCCCCCTAAATCCTGCTGAACATCTAATGTTTTGGCAGCCATTCTTCTGTGATTTGCATGGCAATTATGTCCCATTGTACAAACACAAAAACACAAGTAGCACCATGTGCTGTGTCATGGCGGCACAAAGACGCCAATGTATGGGTATGAATTTAAAAACCTCCCTTAACGAGGTCACTTTGAATTGCAAATGAATTGATGCCATCGGAGCAGCTGACGACAGGACTCAGAAAACAGGAGTCACTTCAGCTGTCGCTCTGAGTCTTTGTGAATCCTGAGAGATGATGTCTGCAGATTGTTCACACTCACTGAGAATTCACAGACAGAGAAGAAGAAGAATTTGATGAACCCTTTGGATGTTTATTTTATTAGCAAACACTTTTGTATCACTTATACGGCAGAAGCAAAACACAAAACTACAGAAAAGGATAGGTAAGATATTTAAAAGTACAAGCACAGAGAATAGATTAGCAAGTATTTTAGATGCCAGTCTCACATGTCCAGATGACAGACTATTTGGTTATCTGTCAACAGAAAATGTTGTTTTTTCCAATTGTTTTATGTCCATGTTATCCAACTACATGTGAAATAATGCTTTACATAATAAGAATGGCGGGTGTTGTATCAAAAATTGCTACCTATCAAAACGCGCTACCCTGTACTCATCTGCAAAGACAGGATCCATTTCTCACCTCAGCTATTAAATACTGCGACCTTGCTGATGCTGATATTTATGCAGAATATGATGTTTAAATTATTTTAAGATACTTTCAAGGGCGCTTGTTTGTCTGCGCCTCACAAACAGGAGTCTTCATATTAGTTGTCACCAATTTGACCCCAAGGCTATAATCTATTTTTTTAGACACTTGTCTAATGTGTAATAAAATCACTTTGGGACTTCTGAACAGGACTTATAGGACCTCAGAGTTAGATTAATGTATTTGGAAAGTTATTGATGTATGTGGGCTGGTACTCAGTGCCATCATCTTCACATGTAACCCTTGAGCCAACAGGACACTGATGCCAGTTGACAGCATCCTGTCCTCTCTGGAGTCTAGTCCTTATCCCCAAACCCTTTAAGCGCACTCTCTTCTGAGGATACATGAGAGCAGCAGAAGTCTTGCACACAAACTATCGACGGGTTTCTTGTGTACAAACAATACTAGGTGCGCGCACAACCATGAGGCAAAAGCCTTCTTCGGAGTGAACTGATATCAATGACGATGCCGTATTGTTTGCAAGTTGTCCCTGACACAATTGCAATAAAATGTCATTTCATTGATAAATCACTTTGTCTTTCATTGTATCAAAATCAGAATAACACTTGCTGAAATATCCATGAATTTCACTCAATTTACCAGGTTGTTACGTTGTTTTAGATGTTTCTAATATCAGGAGTAGGGTTGTAATTTTGCCGATTGTTTGTTTTGCCGATTCATGCAGTTTACAGCACTACAGCTTCTTGTCATTTTCTTTCTCCGTTGACTCCGCTAGTAAACAAACAAGAAATGTCCCGCTTTCAGCCCCAAGGCTGCATGTGCATATCTGCGATGACATTGCACAGAAACCCATCTATAATGTCACATTTGTCCAAGATTTGAGGAATGTCACATCTTTTGTTCCAAAATTTTGAACAAGAGAAAGAAATTAAGAAATTTGCGAACATGGACAACAAACTTTTTAAATTTGGATTTTCTGTTGTGAATGTGAAAAAGCATGAAACCCCTCCTTTAAAATAGAGCCTTGAATTGGATCATAAACATTCCAGCATAACTCTCTTAAAATGAATACAACAGTATGACTACAAAAAGTTTTATATCTGAGCTCAGAAGCTCCCATCAGCACCGTGTGATCACCACGGCCTCTCTCCTCTTGTGCTCATTCTGTGCCTTGGCTTTTCAGACACACAGACATCTGCCTCCTCCTGCTCCTCCCCCTGCTCTCTGTCACTATCCTAATTTGCACAACTACCCACTCACGATACACTGTCCCTAATATGAAGTTTACAAATGGAGAGTAACTGGACATCTGACTAAGTCAAAACTACGGCAAAGACTTCAGTGTTGTGGACTGAAATATGTTTATAAATGTGACTTCTTGGAAACAAACATGAGCAGCAGTCTGTGACACTGCAGCCTATCAGGTTTAAGCTGTGCCAGTAAGTCAGAGTCAATAATAAATATCGATAAATCTGACTGTACTCCAAGAACAAAACCTGCATCTGTGTCTGCAGGACTGGACCTCTAACACACACACACACACACACACACACACACACACACACACACACACACACACACACACACACTGAGAGCTCTGATGACAGTCCCTGGGGTTGAAGCAGAGGTCAGCGGAGATGTGTGAGGTTGTCGTAACACTGACTCACCTTTTAACCTCCAGCCTTATCTCCTCACCCCTTATTTCTGTCACCCCTCTCCTCCCCTGTCCACCCAAGCCCGTCACGTCATCTTTCAGCAGGAAACCATCAGTCGCTCTGAGATGTTTCCAGCCCGGCAGTTTTAATGGATTCCACCGGAGAGTGAGGAAGAGATGGAGCTGTATGTAACCTGACCCCAGTGAGCCCGAGCGGGGGGATTATTCAGACGTGGGATAAAGCTTCCTGCTAATTGTAATAGAAGCCGAGCTGACCAGCGCTAACTGCTCTAATGCTGGAGTCAACCCAAGGTCAGAGCCAGGAGATAGAGCTATCGATCCCACACACACACACTCACACACACAAACACAGAGCGAAGAGGAAACTTCCAGTCCATCCCATCGCAGCTCTTCACATCCAATCTCCAAACACCATTAGAGGTTTTTGTGAGGGTCTGATCTCCATCACCTCACTAAATGTTATTTTACTCAGAGAGAGAAGAGGAAGAGGAGGACGGAGTGATTCAGAGGAGGAAATATCTCATCCTCTGTGGTTGAAGCACTCCAGCTGAACCTCTGGTCCCTGTGTTGGATGGGTCTGTCTGAAGTGAAGGACCTGCTGTGTCAGATATTAGTGATAATTTCAGATGGTTTAGACTCAGAATCATAACCATATTAAACCCCAAAAACAACCGTCAACAACACACCACTGGTGGAATCAGGCGTACCCATGGCCAGTCCTAAAATCTGATTGGTCATCCTGGATTTCTTAAATGTGGTTGTCTATATTTGCCTTGTCAGAAGTGGAAACTAAGTGGAGACTTAGACTAAATAGTTATCCATAATTAAGAAATAAAAAGGTATACTATTTGTGGAAAAAGAGTTTAGATGCTGTGTGAAATTTTGATTAAAGACCCACTCTGATGAAAATCATGTTTTTCTTGTTGTCTACATGTTCATATGGCATTTTCTGATGCTACAGGACATATCATGAGAAAACTAAGTATCTGAGTATTTCTGTATTCAAATCGATGTGAATCTCTGGTAAACCCAAACAGCAGGCTCAGACACAGTGAGATTTCCTATGTCACAACTGCAAGCTCCGCCCCTAGAGGCCAACTCTGCAGGCCAGACCCCGAGAAGTAGAGAGGACAATGGCGGAAAAAGTGTGTGTGTTAGTGGATTGCAATGTTCATATGAAAACTATGATATGAACTTTCACCATGTCCCTGAAGACATTAGTGTCCAAGAGCTAAATAGCTCCTATGTTACCTGACACTTCTACTACACCGGCAATGTTAGGCTGCAAGCTAGCATGAAGACAAGTGTACAGAGCAGTGCTGTCTCTGCCCACGACTTTGAGGCGTGTTGCTAATGAGCTACTGGAGCTCTGCAGAAGAAAAGCCCTTGAAAATGACACAGGTAGCGTGATTTGGGCTAAAAACGTCATAATCACAACTTAAAGACCATTGAGAACACTTCAAGTAGTAAAAAACAAAAACAATCAGAGTGGGACTTTAAAGCCTGTATCTTATTGAAAATAATGTAAAGGCAATAAATCAAATGCTGAAACAAAATGTGTATTATGTACCAAATGCTTTCAGGAGGTGTTTTCAGTGGTATCTTTCGACTACAGAGCTTTACTGTTGTTCTAAATGCAGATTGTTGTTTGGGCCCACAGAAGTTGCCTACATTTCTGTATCATGTTAAGAGATGGTTTCCTTTTGCTGCGGTGCAGTTTGAACCATTTGTGGTTGTGGTTATGGAGTGTGTTCACAGATAGCGGTTTTTAGATGTGATTTTAAACCCATGCAGTGATTTTTATTACAGATTCATGTCTATTTTAAATGGAGATCACAGCTGTCCAGTACAAGTTACTGCTTATGTTGTGCTATAACCACTGTAGTTGATGAGATTGTTGAATTATGAGTTTACGCAGTCTCTCACAGAGTGGTGAACCTCTTCCCATCTTACTTTTGAGAGACTCAGCCCCCCTGAAGTGCCCTTAAATATATCATGTCATAAAACTGTTGCAGATTAGCCTCATTAGTTGGAGGATGTTTCTCAAGGTGCTTTTTTTTTTAGCATGATACAACTTTTTGTAGTTTTTTTGTCCATGTCCTACACTGTCCCTGTGCTATTTTCCTTAAATAAAGGTCTCAAATTAACTGATAACTGTATTTTATCAATGTCTTAAACAGTACCCTGCTTACTAGCTTACCTTTCACTGCCAAAATTTGCTGGCGGACAATATCAACTACACTTTTTTTAAAATTGAAAATCCAACCCAGACACGAGCACGTCATTTCAGTATAAAGAATCTTGTTGATCTTATTTTAAAGTCAATAACCCATAACACACATGTATTTGTTCAAATACATGTCAGCAGCATTAAAGTGAGTGAGAGGAAAGCTCGGGGCTCCTCTCCTCCGATTCCGTCAAGACTCTGTTTGTCATCTGTACTGATTCTACAATAGATAATAATGACGCCCAGGCTGCTCTTCAGATCTCATCCTGTCTCCTTTACATTGTTTTACTTAGCAGATGTGGATTTTCCACAACAAGAACTATTACAACTGCACAAATTTAATGTTTGTGAACCACCAGTCACTAAAAAAGCACTACAGTATATTTAGAGTATAGAATTTGTTTTGTCATACCCTGCTGTCCAGCTGTTTAATATCTACATTCAGCAGATTTGCACACTAATGATTCCATTAACACAAAATATATCAGGTTAACTGTGACATCATTAATGTGCTGACAAGTGTGATGCATGAACATACCCAATACCTCGGCTCTGTGTGTGCTGTGTTTTTGCATTAGTTCAGTTCACTGCACATTGAGATCTTTTGGACCGGTTTCATTATATTTGGTTGGCAAACTTTTAACTGCACAACAGATGGGTTAAGACTGGGTTTTATTTCTACATGGGACTTATTTCTCTCCAGGGTAAAGTTAGGTCTGACCTGCTCTTCTGGAAGGCGTCCTGAGATAAGGATTGTGGTGATTTGGTGTTATACAAATAAAGATTGATTGATTAAAACAGCGTGTGATAGGTAAACAAAATTTTCAGTTAAAAGACGTATATGCATCACAGCCTAGTTTCAATACTGTCAGACTTTGTTGACATAGTTTTATTAAGGTTATGTCTTACACACTTTTGATAGAAAATACAACAGACCAAAAACTAGCAAAAAAAAAAAGGAAAAATGTCTTACTGTCTATCTGAGGAACTGAGAATTTGTCTGTTTTTATTTTTATTTTTCTTATTTTTTTATTTTTCTTATTTTTGTGTTTTTCTGCTTACGCATACAAACACAGACACACCTCCTCTGCAAGAGTGTGTGTGTTGTGTGTGCTGATTGTTATCAAGTGTGTGAACACATCATTAAGTTGCAGCATACACTGACCTGGAGTCAGAGGTCAGCTGACGGAGCTGACAGCGATGTCAAGTGGCTCGACAAGCAGCGAGCCCCATCTGGCCTTGGAGAGGGGGGGGTTGGTTGTGTGACAATCTGGTGTCACACTCACATCACCTGGTACTGCACACATACATACACACATGCTGGCACACAGGGGCTGACACTCTGGCTCTGTTTACATCCCACAGCTCAGAGTTTGTGATCAAACCGATGACACAGAAACAAAAATCCTGCCTCCCTCTTTATTTCTGTCATGAGTTCAATTGTCAGTGACACGCCAAAGAGCTCCCAGAGCACAGCCAATGCCACTATTGAGCCCCTCTAATAAACTGTAAGCTGGCTAACAGCACGCCACACACTCCAGATTTGGATACATCTCTAATCTGGATATTTGGAGCAGTTTGTGGGTCTATAGGTGGCTGCATGTCATATCCGCGGCGAAAAACCCTGAACCTAAACCCCACATCTGAAACCCTGAAGCTGTTGAAAACTATTCTTTTCTTTGTCCAAGTGATCCTCCAGCAGTTTGAGTGTCTTCAGCTCCACTTGTGTGTGTTTTTGAGCTCAGAGTGTTTCCAAGTTTTCAGGAACAGGCTGTGAACAAAGCCACATGACAACAGTAACATCTGGCTGCAGCTCCAGAGATGATTACTGTGCTGCTCTGTGAGAACTCATCCTGCAAGGCCTCTCTGCCTTCCTACTGTACACACACACACACACACACACACACACACACACACACACACACACACACACAGAGTGCACAGATTGGCATAGCCAGATGGCAAAGTCTCTTTGACTGTCACCTAAACCTCTGCGGGATAGCTGTGGATGTGTTCGGGTATGCAAACAACACAAAGAGATTCATTTCTTCATATTTGTCTTTCCATCTCAGATTAAAATGATACACAAACTTTCTGCTGAACAAACACAAACAAACTGGACTCATGCTGATGATGAGTCGCTGAGATTTCAGACAAGCCTTTCTTTTGTTTGTAATGATGGTCAAAATATCCCCTGAACTCTGTGAAGAAATCAAAATCCCTGCCCCAAAAACTCAAGGGTCTTTCTAAAATGCACAAAAGATGGTTTTTAACACAATATATCTCAAATAAAAAGCAACAAAGTGGAAACTTGGCAATAGAATCAATGACTCTGCTGCTTTTGGTTCCCTGCGCAAAGTGTGCGTACCTGTACCAATCCAGTCCCCGCGCGTAATGCCGGTCGAAGAAGTGGGGCTCGGACCCCAGGGCCCTGATATCCGGGTGAAGTCGGAGAAACTCCAGCAGAGCCCTCGTGCCACCCTTTTTAACCCCTATGATGAGCGCCTGAGGTAACCTCCGCGTGGCTGTCCACTCTTTCCCCGAGCTGTTCCCTTCCATCCCGGGAGGACTGCTGAACGCGCCCTCTCCGAGAGCTGTGGTTACCTCCTTGGTTCCGTTCCTGTCGTATGGCCATCCCGAACCCGGCACGAGGAGCTCGCGCGTGGGTTGTTTGATGTCAGAGTTCTCAGTGAACTCGGACTCGCAGCAGCCGGTGAGCAGGTAGACCAGAGAGAAGCAGAGCACGCTCAGAGAGGACGCGATGGTGAGCCGGTGGAAGAGCCGGCGCAGGTCCGCGCTCGTGTGGTGGTGGTGATGATGATGGTGAAGAGCTGCCATCCCTCAGAGAACCGTGTCAGGTGAGGTGCCATTCTTCCACAAGTTCCACTCACATCCCTCCTTCATACTCCAACACAGCTCGAGCTCTCAGGGACTGTTCCTCAGCGCGCAACGCTGCCCTCCTTCTCCTCATGGTGCGCATCCAGAGCGCAGAGACCCCCCCAGATACCCCGGCTGTCAGTCAGACTGAGATAATCAGAGTGTTCGCGTGACATCCAGAGTGTGAGCCCACTTACGCGCCGAGCCTGCACCGTGGGGGGAATAAAGGTCTAATATCCGAGCACGCGCTACAGCGGGAGCTCTCTTTCTCTCTCTCTCTCCACTCCACGGGAGGATTACTGTGCGCCTCACCACGGCTCAGCCCGGGAGGGGGTGGGGGGATCTCTCTCTTCCACTCTCTCTCTCTCTCTGTCTTTCTCAGGTTTGAGGGTCATGGCCTGAGGCGAGTTTAATTCCTGTTTTATTTATCGTGACCCTCAGAGTCTTCTGTTATTATCACTCTCATCGAACTGATTGATCCATGATGAATATTACTCATCTTGGTTTGGATTCATCTGCAGCTTTGTGCCATAAAACATCATGTCCACAAATTTCATAAAGTGAGAAGCTTCTTTTGTAGATTATTTCACCCTGAGGCCCTGAGGGTCGACTGCATTAGTATTACACAACACTCAAGAACAGTTCACTGGGCACCAAAACATTCACTGTCAAGAAAAAAAGACATTTTATATAAAGGTTTCCTCAAACCTGAAAAAGTAATGAAATGCAATAATACCTAATGAAACTTTTCAGAACATCTCCCTAAAACATAAAACTTAAAAAATGTAAAAATGCTTTTACAAAAAACAAAAATGTCATAAAACTAAAAGTTAATTTTACTGAAAAGCAAAAATAGCTCAAGATTATTAAAAAGTCCAAATAATCAATAAAAGAAAAAAAACTGAGAGACTCAAACATTTCCACAAGATACCAGAAAAATATTCTGTCACTTCATAACATTTAACAAACCATCAAATTGTGTTTGAAAACAAAAAAAATGAAACTTCAGAAAACTTTATATGAAATTCAAAAATAAATCAATAAAAAAGTATTTAAGAAAACATCAAAATGTTAGAAACCTCAAATCATTTGATGAAAAAGCAAAAATACCTCAAAAGCCATTTCAATAAGCACACAAATATTTCATGAAACTTAAAAAACTGTTAAAATGTCACATAAAACAGAGTGTTATTTTCACTTTAAAAAGCAATGTCTGAAAATAGTTATATCATGAAGTGATTTTGTTTTGCGTGAAGGATTTTTGGGGGCTTTGTGAAATGATTTTGCATTTTGTGAAGTTGTATAACACAGTTATATAAATGTTTTTTGACATATACATCCTCCAAGCCTTATGAACTTTGAGCAAGTTCATCAAGTCAAAATATACTCCTCGGAAAATTACCAACAATCTTTTACCAGCAGAATATGGATGATCAACTTCAGCAAACTTAAACTAGACTAAGTTCAGATGAGCCCTCTCAGTACGTCTTCTGTAATGAATGGTTATATAAACATTGGCCTGCTATGATGGGTGTTGGGACGAGTAGGTCCTTCAGCAGGTTAACAAGTTGTGGGTCACTAGTGCCATGTGGAACTGGGTTTATCACACTCTGCATCCATGTAATTGGCTTAGCGGTCACACAGAATTAGACTGTAGAGAGCAGCTGCCAGCAGACGGCTGATCCTGACCTCACAGGACTGTCTGTGTGGACACACGCCCACGTATCACGCAGGGCTGTTTGACGTGGAAGAATCAATGAGATACAGAGAGCTGAATTTCATCAGGATTGGTGTTTAAAATCCTTGAACCTGTTAAGAGCTGGTTTAAATAGCAAACAAGCATCTATGACATAAAACTTAAATATGGAAAAAAGGGGGGCATGGTCTAGCTTAGTAGCTCTTTATGCAGATGATTAGTCCTCTACTGACCCAGGCTTCGTCATCCTTCAGCTGTCTAATCAATAACAGCAAAAATGATCCAAAAAAACAACCTGCAAATTAAAAAAAAGTTAAAATGAAATAAGTTAAAACAGTTGGCTTAAAAGTTATCTGTGAGCACACTCATGCAAATGTAACCCAACCCTATAATGTAATTTTAATCCTAATGAAAACAATTGAGTTACATGAATTTAGCCTGGTAAAAAGGTCATGAACAGTAAAACAAGCTAAAACTGTTTCTTTCTGTTGGAGAGTTGGACATTTAAGTGGAAGTGCAATCAACTTTTTTAATACAAATGCAAGAACTTTATTGATCCCCAAAGAAAAATTCAATAGGGTGTAAACATGACAAGTATGTCAATAAGCTGGAGGCAAACACAAACTGCTAACATGGGGTAGATAGCAAAACAGGAGTCCTAAAATGTCATCTCGGTGCCAGAATAGAAGGAGTGACGACCACTGTGATCCAGTTCATCAGCGTTTACTTATTCAGGTCATTGATTCTTCCAAAGAGTAAGTCCAAAGACTGTATGCTCCGCCTTCCGTCATTATACGAACTTGAAGCAGAATTGCTCTTGTTATACCCAGGATTTTCTCCATTTCCTGGAACCACAACTTGCGTAGTAGCATTGTACACATTTGGCGGGAGAGTCATTGAGAGTCGCTGTGATGACGCTTGGCTTAAACAGCGTATCCATCGGGTGAGCTGTAATGACTTGAGCACAAACCAGTCTTACAATAACCACATGTCAACATCGCAAGCAGGGTGGAGAAAAATTCATATTCTGTGTAAATAGTTTCTAAAGTTTGTCCACAGCTCCATAGGGATGAGGAGGAGGCGGGATTTATGACCTGCAGCCCATCACCAGAAGGTGCTGTTCTTGCGGTGGCTTCACTCAGCGAGGAGGCAGACGGAATCCATTCTACATAGTCTATGAGTGAGTCATCCTACATACCTAGAGAGACTTGTGTTATACACCACCATTGTTAAAGAAAAGCCAAAGAAAAACTCAGTGTTTGAAGATTGTAGTTTCAGTAATAGAGTCTATAGGGATTGACTCACCTTTGAAGACAACCTCTAGTGGACAACAAAGAAACTACATTTAATGGCACTTAGAGTATGTGTTCATTTTTTTGTTGGGATTTAAAAATGTAAAAAATAGACTCAATTTTTAACACTTTATAAACTTTTTTTGATAGACTTGCTCCACTTGATGTGCTCACCCTCCTGTTTTTAATCTCCATTAAGAATTTTTTTTTGAATGTATTATTTTACTCCCAATTCTTCTCATCTTAAATTGACCTCCTCTCTATTCTCAATCAAGAATATTTGTAGTTTTTCACAAATAAAGGACCAAAACAAATTTGCTTTATTGTGTCAGCTGAAATAAAATAGAAATTACATTACATTTCCTCCTAAGTATACTGCTTTCACTCTCTGTGAAATAATTACGTCAATAATGATCATTTCTTGCATATATACCTGTCATATGAGATTGTTTTCTTCCTGTTTTTTAGATGGGATTAAAATAAAAATTGCACAAAGTTTGATGGTGATGTCAAAAAAGGATAATAGCTCAGTTTAGCCTCTCTGCAGGACAATGCAGAGGTTTTATGGCTGGGGTCACATCTGCTGCAGGATAATGACAGGGGTAAGCCAAATGGAACATCAAGAGTGTGTGTGTGTGTGTTTGTATGTGTGAGTGTGTGTGCGTGTGAGGTTGGAGGGGGGAACTAATGAGTCTCCTATGAGCTATTATCCGTACCTTAACTCCGCACTCTGCAATAATAAAAGCCAACATAGCAGAGCTTCCTAACAGCAGAATGAAAAACAACAGACACACGAAGAGATGAGAGAGGAAGTGAGGAAGCATCCAGACCTCTTGAGAAACTATAAATCACCTCATGGTATAATGTGAGTTATTTACGACACTATATATGTCTGTATTTCTAATCCACATACTAATGCCTTTGCTGCAGAATCCAACCAGAGCATCAGAAGGATATTTATGTAGGTATTACATCTGAAGGATTATATATAGTGAATGGGTTGCTGTGCGAATTACAATCCTGACAGGGTGAGCAAAACCCTCATGAGAAGTTCTAAGTCAGAGGCAGACTAATTAATCAGTCAACCAATCAGTTCAATTAATCAGGTTTCAGATAATCTGTATCATACTGGCATTGGCCCTCAAGAGGAGAAAAAGAGATACAAATGACAAAAAACTATCATTGTATATTTTTTGAAAGCTTTGCTCCTCTGTTTGATACTGCACCATATTTTTAAAACACAGAGACTGAAATTGAGCGTATTAAACTTTAAAGTGCTGTTTTCTCTGAAGATCCACAGGACAAACTTTATTGACAAACACAATCTGCAAATGATCAGTCAATGATAAAAGAATTCAAATTCAAACAATATTTGATGATTCTCATGAAGGATTCATAAGAGTTTGGGTCCTAGTGTAGATCCTTGTGGCATCCCTACTGTAATGTTGGGGAATTTCAGCTACAGCAACAAAATTTAAAAAAATGTGAGAAAAAAATGGGTTACCAGTTTATAAAAGGAGAGTTTATAAAATCTGTCAATATTTAGGGTAAGTGTGTTTATGTTGCTTTACTGTATACCTCCTCAGAGAGTGTACTCGACTCTGTTCACCTCCTGAACAGGAACAGTACACAGCAGCATCATCTGCAAAAATAAAAAAATAAAAATATTTGATGATTCTCATGAAGGATTCATAAGAGTTTGGGTCCTAGTGTAGATCCTTGTGGCATCCCTACTGTAATGTTGGGGAATTTCAGCTACAGCAACAAAATTTAAAAAACTGTGAGAAAAAAATGGGTTACCAGTTTATAAAAGGAGAGTTTATAAAATCTGTCAAATGTCTGAGGGTTTGTATGGAAGTTTTGAATATGTGTACCGTGGACTGACTGAGTTAAAAGCGCATAAAAAGGATCACCCTGACCCAAAAAAAAACTCAAAATTAAGCCTGTGACTCCACCCCACGCAGTAGTGTCCTCTTTTTGGGGATTCAGAATATGGTCACCCTAAAAAAAAAATTAGTGTTTTGTACAAATGACAAACCGTTACTCATTTCTCTAAAAATTGTAAATAAATCAAATTAAATGTCACATCTGGATATATCTTTATGTTCTGCCCAACTGCCCCTAAAATGAGCCAATCCTAATAATCCCTGTTATTATTATAGTTAAAGTCACCCTCAGGTGTTCCTCTATTTGACCTTTAAAGGTCAAGCATTTCACACAGACATAATAAAGGGTGTGTACGTGAGTCTATATCTGTGTTATACCCTCCTGTTTGTTTTATTCTCTGACCTCTCTCCATGGATCAGGAGGCCAGGTCGTCAGGTGAGCTCCCGTCTTTTGTCTGCGGTCGTCTTGCAGATTGTTTGGTGATGAAGTGGTCGGCTATAAAAGCGTGACCTCGGGGTCAGGGCCGCAATGAGGCAGTCATTCATTATCTGACACACCGGACGAGGCATGATGATTAACCCACCGCTGCATCGCTGTATGTGAAAAAATCTGGGTTCCAAATGTGAATGTATTTAATCTGACTCACCGAACCACCTGATGTTGACTGTGCTGTAATTTTAAAGACGCCTATGTCTGTACAGCGTCTCTGTTTTATCACACTTATTTAAAAGCATCATGTTTGTCATTAAAGCTGAGTGTTTGAACCCCTAACAGAGGTCCAGTCTGCATCCCTCATCCCCACTGAGTGACAGTCTAATTAGAGTTAAAGTAATGGTGTTTGTAATGAGGGATAAATTACAGCCATAAGTCACTCAGTGAGAGCTGTGAACCCGACACACACACACACAAACACACACACACTTACAAACCAGTGAACCACACACACTGACCGTACAGACCTGATCTGACCCCCTCTCTGCACCACAGAGGGTTTGTTATGTGCTTTTAAATGTTCAGCTTGCATAAATGATGACATGGCGGGTAATGTTTTCTTATCTTAAAACTACTAGATGTAAAATATTTTCAAATTAAAATGAAATTTTCAAATTAAAAGTGCTGACTCAAATACAATTTTCTGTCATACTTTGACTTATATTAACAATCAAATGTATGTTGGTGTTAAAACTAAACCTTTTTTCAACTTTATTATGATTTACTGAGTGAGTACTCGTCAGGATTTCAACCCTGAAGTTTGGTTGCATGTGAATGTGACTTTTTAATATTCATGGTTTCACTCGCCTCCATCGCTCATGTGAGGTTTGGGTGATGCTTTGTTTGTATTGTCTCTTTCATTTCCTTTAACCTGCCGATATGCTGAAACGGTGAAGCGATCGTGGTCTTAAGCTATCTCCAGCTTCGTGTTCAGTCCTAGTGGGGTCACTGAAACCTGCCACAGCCACACCCAGATCGGAGGCCTGGACCTCCTGCCCCCCCTGCACCTTCTCCACCTGTCAGAGAGCCTCACACTGGTACAACCACACACACACAAACACCTTACACACACACCACATGCAGTGACGAGGGAGTGTGTTTGACCCACAGGGATGAGAAATGCCAGATCAGATCAGAGCACTCCAAGAAAGGATAAGCTCTACTTATGCTGCTTTGAGTGTGTGTGTGTGTGTGTGTGTGTGTGTGTGTGTGTGTGTGTGTGTGTGTGTGTGTGTGTGTGTGTGTGTGTGTGTGTGTGTGTGTGTGTTTAGGTTTTAATGATGGGGGCGTTTCTCTGACCCTGTGTGTTGTAGCTGTGTTCAGGTTATTGTGTAAATGTAAAATAAGCTCATGGTCCAATGAGAATGAATATCACAGACTAGTTTCATCAGCAAACATGTTTCTTTTGCTGCAATTCAGTTACCTCAGATGTCGGATGTCGGGGCTGGGAATGACGCTACACCCAAGTTGACAGCGTTACAGATAACAAGTCAGAAAACTTAGATGGACGCCTATAGTTACCCGTTGTTAGCCATTGTTTTCAGTTGTCAGCTGTTGTTAGCCGTTGTCAGCAGTTGTTGGTTGTTTTTAGCGATACCGGTTGTAAACAACGCATAACACAGTATTTTACTCTTACAAACACCATAGCACCATGTTCAGTTAGACGTTGTGCAGTACAACACCAAAATGAATTTCACCAAAACAGAAGTGCTAATAAATAATACATTACGAGAGCTTTTACTGTTACTCTTTACTGTTGATGCACTGCGCTGCCATCTTGAAATATGATGCTGTCGTCAAGGATCGTCTGACTTTCTGAGTCGGAAATCCGACTTCGGGGGGCGTTTCAGATGAATTTCCGACTCGGAGCTGGGAAATCCCGACTTCCGATGACAACTGGAACACAGCATTTGACTTACATAGCTATAAACTAATGAGCTGATCTCAGGCCTGTGTGGAGAGCCAATCTTATTATGGAGTTAGAACCGTTGCCTGTTTTCGTATCATGAGGTCAATCACATAACAACAGGTTTGATGTCGAACCAGTCAGAAAGTTCAGGTTTATCTGTAGAGATAAATAAAGAGATTATGGATAGTTTCTGTTTTAAATTAAAGCTCGAAGACTTGCTTCACATCCTAGTTAATTTGATGCATCTTGTGGCCTTTTTTTTCTTGAGGTCCTGCTCTGTTTTTTTTTTATGTTTAAAGAACAGACTTTGGAGCTGAATGAACTCCCCAGGCTGACTCTAATCTGCCCTAATTCCCTGCTGGTGCTAATGTTACAATCAGCGCAGTAGAGAGGAGATAATCATCTGAGCCACACTCTGAAACCTCTTTAAACTCCAGGATTAACACACTGAAAGGTGAAGAAACAACATACAGAGAGTTCAGGGCCTGACCTGCAGGTGCTGCATGACTTCACCCTGACAGCAGTGTTTCCCTCTACCTCTAATGGAATAATAATGAAGTGTAATGGTGAAAAGGCGTCTCAATGTGTTTTTGGTATTGACCCGTCTGCAGTCAGCTGAAGCATGAACACCTCACACTCTGTATTGATCTGACTTCTACTACAGAACCAGGAGCAGGTCTGTTTTCTGACATTGAAATGAATGAAACACTCAGGGAGGAGGATTAGAGCTGCATGCATGGATGATTATGCATGCACACACACACGCACACACACACACACACACACACACACACACACACACACACACACACACACACACACACACACACACACACACACACACACACAGTCTCTTAGTGCAGGTGTGATGCTTCTGTTTGCATCCTGCACTCAATGAATTAAAACTCAAGTTGCTAGTTACTTGAAGTTACTTGAAATTAAAAACTTGTGTATTTACGAAGTTGTTTTGAGTATTCATACATTTGTACTGCAAACATTGAACATTTTTTGAATGAACCCTTTCAGCTTCCATGAACTCATTTAACCTAAATTGAGAGTGTAAACCCTACTGACTGTGTGTAGGAAAGCCCATTGCACCTTAGACACACGCCTATTTTAACATCCATTTTACCTTGCACCACGGAGGGAACCAGAGGAGGACTATTGGCTGCTATTTTAGGTCCAGATGCTCTGAATTGACTCATTTTGGTTTTGCATTTCCATAAGATTATTAAATGCTTTGCATGCTGTTCCAGGCATTTTTCAAATGCAGTGACAGTCGTTTAAAACTTAAAGAAAAGCACACTCAAAAAAATGATGTGCTGACCTAAGGAAAAAAAAACTGATGTTACCATTTGTACGGATATTTTCAAGTTATTTCAACTTACCCCATATTAAGGGGGATTATATTCTGTGTAGTTAATTTCTAAAGTTTGTCCACAGCTCCATAGGGATTGCTGGATGAGGCGAGATTTATGACCTATACTGCAGCCCTTCACCAGAGGGCGCTGTTCTCGCAGTGGCGTCACTCAGCAAGGAGGCAGATGGCGTCCATTATTTATACAGTCTATGACTGTCGTACTGTCTGCTAATACAGTTATTAGCTACTGTGAATAAAACAAAATAAAATTGTCCTCACCAAGCCATAAAGTTTGCAAACGCGTTTCTCCAACTCTGTATTCTGCTCAGTCTGTCTTCTAATCTTATACTTCCAACAAACATGTGCATGATGTGTTCACATTAAACATGTCCGAGCAAGTCATACGGACTCAGAATTTAAGTTGTGCTACTTGCATACACCTCTATGTTAAGTTAAGGCAGAAGTATCTGTTGAAAATTCATCTTTAATTCAGTTAAGATTGTTTTATTTTATTTAATTTAGAAGTTATTAGATTAATAAGATTTTGAGCTGTACTTACTAACCCATGAATCATTTTTTAGAGAGTAGGAGAAAGGAAAGACAAGAGGCTTCTGGAGGAAACAAAGAGAGAGGAGATAATAGACCTCCTCAGGACTTTTATGTCAGAGAGGATACGTTCGGAAGAGACTTTGTTTTGACGGTGACAAAGATGGAGGATAGAGGAGACTGCTGGAGGGAGTAAAGGACGAAAACAAAAGGACGTCGCCTCAAGGGGAGTGAAGAAGGTCTCACGTCTCCTCTCTTCATTTCCTTGCATCTCTCCATCCATCTCTGGGTTAGGATGCAAGCAAAAGCTGCAAATTTGAGGAACTGAGACAAAGCCATGGTCAAGTTCACAAGGTTTAAAACATGAGCTGATACTGAGGTCTGTTTCCAACTGAGACAACAGGTCCGTGTCTGAGTGCTTATTGTGCAGAGACAGACTGTGTGCATGAACGTGCATGCATGTGTGTGTGTATGTGTGTGTGTGCAGATTAAGACTACCTGCTGGATCAGGATGCCTGTCCTCATTTCCTGCAGCCTTGCAGACACATCTGCTGGCTGCATTGTTGAGCGTAGCAGTTACACAGAGAGATGGATTATTGCTCCTGTGGCCTCTGAGAGCAGAGACGATGTAACGACACAGACCTGATCCAGGATAAATCTGTTATCCCGGGTTTGTGCAGAGATATTCTCTACAAGGGGATTAAAGACACACAGAGGGGACAGCAATATGGGAATAATCCCATCCAGCTTCCTGTTTCACCTTTTAGAAAAACCTGCTCTCGGGGACAAAAGGATGAATCTCATGAAGTCTGAGCAAAAGGGCGGGTTTTATTGAGGTTTTTGGACGCTCTGCAAATCTGTTTTCCCCAAATGCATGGCTAACAATAAAAAAAATGAACCCTAAGCAGCTCTGTCATGGATTTGTCTGAATCATAATGCTCTCTGTCCGTCTCCGGCTTTCATTAAATGAGAAAAAAAAACAGGATATTGTTGTGGATATAAAGTGATTAAACATTACAGACCCCATTTAAACAATAGCACTTCTGTCCTCTCTCATTAACATTCATTTTTCTAAACCATCAGCTCCATCTGACCGTGTTTTTCCATCAGGAACAATGCAGACATGCTGTATATTAGCCCATATTCATGTGTCATGTCACGACAGAGGGGTCGCTTTAATCAAAATCCTCCATGCACGGCTGAAGCGGGGATTAAACTTTCCCTCTTACATCTCAAACCACCAGATTAGAGCCCCCTTTGACCTCTAATCTCAAACTGGATTACTCCACTAATGTCTTTACCCAAATTTCATCATTTTTTGAGAGCTTGGAGTGGCAGGCCTACAGGTGATGATGAGAGGAATGTTAGACGTTCCTCACCTCATGATAATCCACTCAGATCGGAATACAGATGAGTAATTTATTCCCAGGATTTCACCAGAATCTGGATTGTTTTCTCTCCTTTTTTCATCAATTATTAGAAGTCTGTCAGTCTGATGTTTGAGCTATGACTGAAAGCTAAATGTGCCCCCCCTGTCCTTTTTTAAATCCAGATATTATTGTCCACAGATCCCCCTCCCCCTCTACTCCCCTCTGTGTCTCTGTGCTGACAGCAGAAAGCAGCCTCAGACTGATGACCCTCTTCATTTAGCTGCTCCCCTGGGCCTTCATCTCATTGGCTCTTAATGGGACACACACATATGGTGAAACAGAAGTACATAAGGGTGAACACACACTAACACACACACACAGTGACACATTTAGACTGTGCAGAGGTGTCTTTATTTCAACTTGGTCAGCAGTCCAACTCTTTAAAATACAAATCTGATCCATACAGCTCGTTCAGTCATGTGCTTTATTTCGAGTACACTCAGGATGTTTTAACACCTAAAAGTCCGGCCCAAGATACGGACCAAGATCCATGTTTTTGTTACATTACATACATTTGCTTCGGTCTGTTAGGTTTCACTCTGTCATTATTGCAAACCGACTAACAGATTTTACATGATGAACCTATGTGATATTGTCATCAACTACATACTTTGCGTGTCTCTGTGGTTTACATTGATTGATATTTGGCTGGCAAACGGAAAGGAGAAGAAAGGATGCAATAAGAACTTTATAAATCCCCAAAGGGAAATTCAAGAATGCAATCCTGCAAGCCATTGCAACACTGACTCAGGAGAGAAAGAATGTGTTGTAAAAGTCTCGAAAGATAAGATGTCCAATATTGAGGTATAACTTTATCGATTGATTCCATTGTTGGGCAATCTTCATTCAACATCATTATGGATGCTTCTATTCCTCACGTTATTTCCTGTCCAAACCTTTCAAAATAATGTTTTCACACTGGGCATGAACCAGACCATGGTTCAGTTTGGTTGGGACCAAGACCGCCTTTTTTTGTCCAACCAAGGTCCATCTGTTTGGCCCGAACCAAAGTCTAGGGGAGGTTTTGGACCTATTATTCTGATTCAGACCAAACATAAAATTCAGAAAGTTTGGACCAAACAGTGTTGGTGTGAAAGGCCCCAAGGATTGCTAGAGCTTTTAACCAGAACAAATAAACAGGACCGTAAACAGAACCTGCCTCTGTTTCAGCTTTTAACACAACTTGTAACTCAAGAGATGACCTGATAGTAATGAGCTGAAAAGGGGTGTGTTTCCACCTACCATAGCAGAGGCAGACATGCTTTTGTCAAAAATCAGATTCTGCTATGGTACGCCCCCATTCAGCTCGTTAATATCAGGTCATCTCCTGATTTACAAGTTGAGTACCAAAACAGCCAGCAAAGCGTGTTGGTAACAGGCTAACAGGCTTCCTAGCAACAGATCCACACTATTCAACCTCTAGCTCAGAGCAGACGTGTGAACACTGGAGCATGTGCAGAACGCTTAGGCCAGTTTTGGTTTGATTGAGCCGTAAACATGACAGAGAAAATCAACTGCATTATCCAGGTGTCTTAGTTTGACTATGAGGTTCAATTTTAGTTGGACGACTGTGTTTACATGATTTAGCCACTGATCAATTACATGTAAATGACTTACTGTCTATCCAACACACAAACATTTGAAAATGTCATCATGAGCATGCCACACCAGCAGGTGGCGATAATGGGAAATTAAACTTCTTAAATGAGCCACACCTGTAAGCAGTGCTCTTTAAACTGAGTACCCTACAGAGTGATGAATAATATACCATTGATTATTATTTATTTATTCGCCCCTGTGTCACAGTATAATAATGAGGTTAAACCGGGGTACCCAGAAAACATGTGTTGGGATTATTTTCTTTAGCCAGTCATGTTAACATCTATACAACATGCACAGAAGTGAGCAGAAACAAAAAACAGAATCGTTTTCAGAATGTTCCTAGTACCAGCATCGCAATAAAAACTGTAACAGCTAAAAAACATTGCTTCCAGTCACACATTTAAGACGGTGTCAGAGCTCCCCAAGGTGGTTCAGTCCACAGAAGAACAGATTCATTTCTGGGTTTGAAGCAGACACTTGTTATAGTTATATAAGTTATATAAAGTTATGGAAAGTTCCCTGACTCTTGTGGGAGTCAGTGAGACAAATGTATGTTTTGTTACATTTGTCTCACTGTTCTTCCTCTCCTCTGATAACCTGGTGCACACAGCTCATTTGACAACAGAGCTGTCAATCATGATATCATGCCCCTCATAACTGCATCAAAAACTAGCCCAAACTAAACTTTCCAGAAATATAAACACTTGGACATAATTAGATATAATTACGATGACAGGCATCATGTTTGAGAAAAGATGTATTGGTTATGTATTTTATTTTTAAAGCTCGGCTCATGCCCATGTGCGTGTGTGTGTGTGTGTGTGTGTGTGTGTGTGTGTGTGTGTGTGTGTGTGTGTGTGTGTGTGTGTGTGTGTGTGTGTTTGTGTACTTGTGTGTATTCCCTCAGAGACTGAAGCCCATCTGACTGAACCATGACATATGCTGCTCTCACTTAATGGACAGAGTAATTATACACAAACACACACACATGCGTGCACACTAATCAGCTGTGGTTCAATTTACACCTTCTGTTGTCTTTATTGGGAGCTATTTACAGTCAGTGACATCAGGTTATTTCAGGAAAACTGTCAGTGCAGCAAACTACAGGAGAGACAAGATTAAAGAAAAAGAGGTAAAAATGAACTTTGAACCCCGTCTTCACTCCGCGGAAGATACTTAAATGTTAGTGTAGTCCAAGTATAAACCATTGATAGAGCTGTGTTAAATGCTTGATTCTAATTGGTCAAAACCCCTCGACAATGGTTATTGACTCTGCATAACAAGAGCAATGCCAGAGACAATTCATTGAATTTCCTTAAATCAATATTAAGAGCCCTCTGCTTTGTTTTATATGAATAATCACTTATCAATAGGCTAAGGTACAATCTCCATGAAAACATATGGTCTGAGTCCTATTTTTTGCTGCATCAGCAATATCTCCCTCCCACCTAACTTGCAGCTGTGACTACTAAGGTAGTTTACTACCACCAAGGTGTGACTGTGTGAGCGAATGAATGATGTATCCAATGTAAAGCACTTTAAGGGTCTCTGATAAAGCGCTATATGAAATCTGATGCATTATTATTACAGTTCACTCGCACTTTCATACCACTGGGACCAAAGGAGTAAGGGGACCATGGTCCTTTTAAAACAAACCAATCAGTCCTGGTGTGAATGCACCCTAACTTTCCAGCCAGCTCATAAGCGCTTGTGTGAAATATTTTGAAATATCCCTTTAAACTTCTCCTGAGCGCACAGCTAGGCACATGGAGACAACAGAAGTCCCGTTCTCAGCTCTGTTACCCATCTCAAAGATTATCCAACAGCCCACATGGCTCCATTCATAAATCCAGAATAACCCACCCAGCCAACCAATCAGAGGCCAGCGATCCACCAGCACCAACACAACGGTTAGCAGCCGCTCTTTTCAGAGGCACTGATCCGAGACCTGTTAGTGGCCATGTAAAAACACACACACACTCAGATTATACAGACACACACAGATCACACACACACACACACACAGCAGCTCCTCAGCAGTTGCATAAAGAAACATGCTGTCGGTCCTGTTCAGGAGAACAAAAGTCTTCCTAACACATAATTAGAGTCCAGCTTCTGTCCTCGTCCACATCTATGCATGCCTTCCCTCATGTCCTTCTCTCTCCCCCTCCTCTAGCCGTGTCCCCCTATGCTCCCCCAAAACTGAGCCTCCTTCAGTTTTACACAAGAGAGGAAAAGTCTGAGATAAACTCAACGAATGTTCACAGATGCACAAAAATAACAGATAAAAGCATTTACCCCGACTTCACCTGGACTTTTTTCCAACGAGAGCAAGCAGGCAGGGGTTGTATTTCATATCATCAATGGGAGAAAACATCAGAAGAGGTGCATGTAAAGGGATGAATAAATGTGAGACTTAAGAGGGACAATCATTCAAGTCCAGGATAGAGAAGATGTCTGCACATTGGTCATTCATTATCCAGGAGATTTGAGATGCTTCAACGGGACAAAGTGCGTTTTTATTTTTTCTTTCAAAATCAAATTGATCTTCTTCGTTGGAAATCAGTGTTCAAAGTAATCACTCCTGCCTGTCTAAAGAGGATTAAGTCAGATCTCTAATGTGTGACTGAACATCATATAGCCTACATTTAAGTGAGCGTGTGTGTGCACAAGTGTGTCTTTACTGAAAGCAGAGCCTCTGAAGTGTCACTGCAGGTCATCAGAGGTCATCAGAGAGGGTCCTCTACGAGCAGATCACCACCTAGAGGCACACACAGAGTATTCTGTCAGTGTGAGGAGAGGAGCTGAAAATCATCATGAGGTTTTCCTTTCTTTCACTGACAAAAATCCAATCAGACCTCTGAAAGGCTCCTTCCTCCACAGGAGCCTCTCTGGGTCAGAAAACGGAGGCCTGAAGAGGCCATGAAGGTGAGGAGCAGAACCGAGGTCAAGGCACGCAGAGACTGCATGCTTTGGAAATCTGCTCACTCTGTGCCCCTTCTGTTTCATTAGCCTCCCCTTCCTCCCACCCTCCCCCCCTCTAATTTAGACGAGGAGAGGAGAGGGTGTGTATGTGTGGGGGTGGGTGTGCTGATGCTGAGTGTGTGTGTAACTACTGAGGTTTATTTGTTTGTACTGTGGCAGGATTCCAGTGATGTAACTCTTATTGTTTTTTCTGTGTCTAAAGCAGTAGCAGACCTGATGACCCGCTCTGATGGCCAATATTTGTCTCGGTTTGATTCCCACAGCTCTTAGATAAGACACACAAAGAGGACTGATCATCAGAGCTCTGCACGCTGCAGCTGCTGAGAGAAACATTGATCTCATGGACCACACAGTCTTTATTCGCTTTACTGTCAAATCCAAGAGACGGTCAAATTACAGTTCTCTCTTGTGCATCTCACACACAATAAACACAGCATGATGTTTTGAAATCTGCAGAAAAATGGTGGAGAAAGGAGGAGAAGGGTGAGGAGCAGAAGAAGGAGAGAGAGAGAGAGAGAGAAAATCAGGGAGAGGAACAGAGGAGAGCAGGGAGAGGAGCAGTAGAGAGGAGAGCAGAGAAAGGAGCAGGAGGAGGAGAGATGTAGAGAGAGAAAACCAGGGAGAGGAGCAGGAGGATGAGGACCAGAGCAGGCAAAGGAGCAGGAGATGGAAAAGGAGAGCAGGGTGAGAACTACGAGGAGGATGTGGAGAGCAGGGAGTGGAGGAGGAGGAGGAGGAGAGAAAAGGATGAGGAGCAGGTGGAGGAGAGCAGGGAGAGGAGCAGGAGGAGGCAGGTGGACAGAGGAGGAGGAAGAGGAGGAGGAAGGCGGAGAGAAGTGAGCAGGTTTGTGTTTGTCTGAAAAGCCAAGGGCCAGAAGGGCAAATCAAGAGGGAGGCTGTATCATGTATCAAGATTATGACTGCCAGGCTCAAAAGTTAGAGACACCATTCTGGATCATGATAAAATACAAGTCCAAGTCTTGACAAGGATGTTAAAAGCTCAACAAGACTGAATGATATGTTGGATTTGTAGTCTATGACAAAGTGTAAGCAGTCAAAGAGCTCAAATCCCAACGTTTGTATGAAACAGTGTAAAAATGCTTCACTACAAGAGAGTTTTGTCAGCAAAATCAAGTAAAGTGAAG